AAAAAACAAAAATCAACCGAACAATCAATATACAACTGTTCCTACTTGAAAGCATATGTATTAGTTATTAATGGAAACCAGACATCTGTGTCAAGGGCAGTCCCTATTTAAGCTCGATTAATTTTTGTGCCCAAGTATTTTTATCTCCAGTCAAAAATAAGGAGTTGAGTCAAAATCGCGATTGCGTCTTGAAGTAGCGCAGTATGAAAATTATATTTTTAGGTTACTAAATATATTCTGGCACGCAGCATATTTCAACAATCATTTATGTAATGTAATAAACAGGTACCTATGTTAGCACTTGAGGCCATCATCTTATAGATCCGACAGACAACTTCTGACATTGAATTCAAAGCTATGGGTATCCGTGAGCCTGTGACTTTTAAGCGCCTATCAAAGATGTGCACGCACGATCTTTACTTCCTTTGAAATGCCAAAACTTTGTACCCGCGCTTGCACCTCTACAATTTTAAGAAACCCACGGCCCAGCGTGTGGTCTCCAGACCTCAGCACACGCGCGTGTTTTCGGCTTCCAAAAACGAGCAAAGCACGCGCCACATACACGAACCTAGAAACTTAGAAGATGACGCCTCCCGGAAACTCCCTTTTAGGACGGTCTATACACCATTCCAACATTTACGAGTCCTAATCCCAGCGTGCGATCTCCTCAGCCCAACACGCGCATGTTCGTTGCTTCGCAAAGCGAGCAAATCACGAGCTATGTGCACGAACACCAAAAATAAAACCGTCCAGAAGCAAGCAAAGGCAACTGGCCGCCACCATACCTCTGCTTGTGCGGACAAGCCCGTGCAATGTCAAGTTTGCCAAAGCTATGTTCACGCGCAAGCTGTACGTGCTTGCACTCAATGGGGCACCAGTCGGGGCTAGAGTGCCTCAATGACTGTCTCCTTAGGGTGATGCCATCGTTTGTAGTACCCGATGCCGACAGCACGCGCTCACAGGGAAAATATAAAGAAATCGCAGGAAACAAAATGTCGCCTTAACACAGTCAGCGCCATGAGCGCGTGCAGGGACACGCTCTTTCACGCGCTTCAGAACAAAAAATAAAAATAAACGTTCGAAACAAAATGGCCAGATGTCATCACCCCAAGCAGAGCGCACATGAAGGCACCCTAGTCGGGGCGCCATGCATGCAATTGTCTATAAACCATTCAAGAAAAGAGTTCCAGGCCGCTGTCATTCTCAGCGTTCGTGTGTGTGGTAGTGCTTTGCTTGCTTTCCGAAGCGGTGAATACGCGCGTATGAGCCTCCTGCGTTGCCCAGAGGGTGCTGCGAAAAGAGACTTGTTAGGACTTGTTTTGGGTAGTACAAATTTTAGCGTCTCAAACTGTCACGCATGCAGAAGCGTGCCTGCTCTGGTGCGCAGCGCGAGATCACGATAAAAATACAAAGAAACAACAAAAATTCGAACGCCGTCAAAGCTAAGACGCTAAGAGCGTGAGCCAAGAGATGCCGTTTCACGCGCTCCAAAGTAGACATGAAAAATAAAAATAAAATGAAAGCGTCGCGACACGAGTGTTCTGACGTCACCACCAAGAGACAAGAGACGCGTGCCCTAGCGGTGGTGTCATGAACTTGGCCCTTTCGATTGTCTTGCAACGTTGAGTCCGGTCGATTTCTGGCGTTTAAAGGTGTTTTTTCGTTCTTCAGCACCACACGGAATTAATAAAGCTCCACCAACGTGCCATAAGCAGTGCGAGGCTCAATCAGGTGAGCTTGTACTACCCAAAATGAGTGCGCTGCCGTTTGTTCAAAGCTTCAGCGCAGGAGGCCTATTCGGTGGGTTTGTAATGATTAGAAAGGTGTATCGGCTAAACGCGCTGCTTACAAGGAGGCCCGCGCGAGGTGTAGGCACTGCGCGCGCAGAGGGACCAGATTTGTGTAAAGTGGGGTGCCTTCGCATGCGGCCGGCTAATAGCAGCTCCGCCGCAGCTGCGTGACGTGAGGACCACGTGCTGGTGTATATAGTAAGGGAAACGGGTGCACACCTTGTGCTAAGTGAGGTTTGTGCCGTACCAAACTGAAAGCAGTAACGACACCAGTACATTAGTTTCCCACATTACTTTGTTTTCTTTATCGCGATTCGAGTTAATGAGAACCACACACCAAAGGAGGATAAGTATAATCAGTCCACCATTATCCTTGCCAACTCCGATAGGTTCCCGATCAGCATCAACTTCGGTGGCCTGGGTCACGTGATCGCCCATGAAATAGTCCACGGCTTCGACGTCGACAGCAGTCGCAGAGACGTCCGCGGCGAGGTCCACGACTGGTGGTCGCCGGAGACCAGGAGCCAGTACGAACAGCGCGTGCGCTGCCTCAAGAGGTCCTATGCTGAGTTCAACAGCGATTTGCACGACCAGGCCTCGGCCATATCGGAGGACATCGCCGACTCGGTTGGGCTTGCTCAAGCCCATAAGGCTTACCGGGCCTTGGACAGGGGAAATCTGGCAACCGAAACGACGCTGCTGAAGAACTTCACGCCGGACCAGGCATTTTACGTGATGAGTTGCTTTAAATGGTGCTCCAATCGAAAGGCCATCGGCAAGGGATACTCCGCTGACGAGTTACGCTGTAATATACCGCTCAAGAACATCCCAGACTTTGCGAGGGCGTTTGGTTGCCGCCGGAACGATCCGATGAACCCTGCACACAAGTGCAAGTTCTGGTGACCAAATTTGTTCTTCAAAACACTAACCTTTGTATTTACCAAGTTGAAATGTGCCTTTCGCTATTGACATTCCCGTATTTTGTACATTGATGATGCCGCTCCGCTGTTATTTTCTTTTTGTGGTCTTCCCAGCAATCTCTGAAAACATTTTTTGATTAAGTGAGTTTTAGTAGCTGATAGGTGTCATTTGCTGTCTGCCATTGTTTATCACACTGTCGGATGGAACCTTTTGTTGGTTACAGGCTTCCAAGTGGGTGCTCCGCTTCGCCTGCGAACTCTTTGCCGTTGATAGCGCTTCATCACACGTGCAGCGAAAGCTTGGCGGAAGGCAGTGACCGCAATCTAGAGGCGGAGCATCGACTTGCTCTTAACTTGTCACCGATTATAGTCACAGCGAAATCTGACTCATCGTCTGCTAAGAGCGACAGTCTTAGGAATGTGAAGTGCACGCAGCAGCAGCGTTGTGGAGGCTCTTTACTTACTGTACGCGCTCAATAGCTGCTGAGATAGCTACATGACCATTAACTACCGCTAAAAGCTGGAGTTCATTGATTACCACAGCTGAGTCTCCTGCTGCGGAGCGCGTGCTGGTGGCCATAACTTCAATAACGATTTGGTAACTTCATTTCCCATCATTCGGAACTATGAACTCGCTCTTACAGCCTTTGAGGCAGTTCATAATAAGGTCAAATGAAGTGTAACGTACAAAGATTAGGATGCAAGATAGAGCATGGTTTCGGAGATCGTGTGGCAATTACCAATCTATGATCAAATAATTTGTATACTGTGCGGTCTTACTACTTTGTGTTTTCTTTTCTTTTAGTTGGTGACATTAGAAAACTTCCGGTTACCCCGGTGTAGTACCGGGTACGTGGTTGTCTCGACTGCGCATGTGCGCAGCAACCATCTTTTACCGGGCAACTGGCAAGTGCTACCACCGTCGCTCGAGGATATTACAGTCGTTGTAATGTGACGAAGGACAGCACCTTATTATTCTTTGTGTGTATAATATATGACAGTGAAATTCAAAAACCTGCACTCAACTGTGGGTCCTAAAAAAAAAAAAAACGCTTTCCGATTGTAGTTTGGACGATCAATGCCTCGTTCACCTTTTTCAAGGTAAGTCCTTTTTGGCCCATGAGGAGCAGGTTATCTTGTTAGTCTAGTCATCTTTGTTTCCACCGGCCTAACGAACCACTGAAGGACATAACGCGGTACTGTATCGGTATGAAGAGTGCAAGCTCTTCCGGGAGCTACGACAGCAAGTGGTATGATAGCAATTGAAGTAAAGAGAAAAATGTGACTTCCACTACTTTGCATTTATGCGTGTAGCTCGGACGGTAATTTACTCCTGTTTCTTGGGGACACCGGGAACTTGTCAGGATTCTATAAAACTCAGATCTGGTCACAAGTGCATACTTAACCTGATCGGGATCCAGTGTAACGCTCTAATAGTTTCGCGCGGTGTTTCCCGCTTCCAGATCGAGCGACTCTTATTTCGACAAAAAAGTAACGTTTCCATGTCAGCTTTCTCTATTGTGTGTGTGTAGTGTCAGGTGAGCCGATTATTTATATATTTTGGCCGCCTTTCAGAACCACCTCTGCTTTTCTTAGATGTAAGTACGGCATGGTGCCGCTTTTACACATATTTAATTCGCGATTCGTTCATCAAAGTGCTAGGAAGTGCTTTAAGTACTACTTCGGGGAGGTATAGAATAATTGTGCTTTACTTGAAGTACATTTATTGAGTATGTACTGTACTTGTACTTTACTTAAAGTATTTTTTCTAGTACTTTGTCTCTGAGGTACACTCCCCAAATTTGGTTTTGTCAAATTTATATCACAAAATGATGGCTTGTCAACTCTGAAGTGTCTTGACTTTATCCAATGTTTGCCACCATTTAAAAAAATAACTGATGCACCCCCAATTATTCTGGGGGACACTGAAAAAAAGAACAGGATAAAGAAGCGGAAGTGCATTATGAAAGATTGTGTTAAGAAGTATTTGAATTTTACTTTGAAAGTACATTGTATTTATAGCACTTTACTTCAAGTACACTGCGCTCGGAGTACTCATAATTTTACTTGAATTACACAACCTATCATTCACTTTGTACTTTACCTCAAGCTCTTTTTAGATGTACTTTACCTAACACTGCTTCTTCGACGTCATTATTGGCGAACGCCGCAGTCTTGATTGCTAGGACGCTTCAATAAGAAGCTCGGAACTCACCGCGTCCTGCGTTTTCAGTGACCATAGTAACACTGCGATTACTTTACTCAAAGACGGCCGTCTATACTGTTCCAGGTTGTACGGCTCGTACGAGGCACTCAAGTACGGCAGCAGCCTGGACGGACTAGCGGACCTGACCGGCGGCGTCACCGAGACCCTGAGCATACGTCAGGACCCCAGCAGCTGCGCGCGCACCTTGGCGGGCTCCTTGCTGGCGCGGACAACCCTGGTCACTGCCCTGGTCCAGCAGCAGCACACGCAGGTACGTATTACAATGAGATACGTGAGGGGATATGATATATGATAAGAGACAGTAAGGCATGAACAGTAAGATACGTGAGAGGGAACAGCCCGTCGGTGCTTATTTGGGGCACGTACTGTCGAGACCGGTTATAACGAAATAGCGGTTACAGCGAAGTGATCACGATTTCCCATTCCCGTCTGCAGCTCGTTATTACGAAGTAGGTTATAACAAAATAGCGGCTACAGCGAATCGATCACGATTTCCCATTCCCGTTTGCACTTCGTTATAACCGAAGTCGGTTATAACGAAATAGCGGGTATAGCGAAGTGATTTCCGATTCCCGTTGACATCGTTATAACCGATCTCGACATTATACCCGCCAGTCATTAAGGACATTTTAGTCCAAACTGGGGCTGAAACTGGAACTTTATGCGGCATTGGCGCACCACATACACCATACAAAAGTCACGGAGTTTCTCTGCAGACATGATGACAGAATTCTCTACGGACAAGCCTCACGCATGTTCGAATTAAGCGGGTTTGCTTCACACATGCCTATACTTTGTTTCAGCTTCGGTCCAGACGCAGCCAAAGCTACAAGCGCGAGCTCCGGGCTTTCAGCATCCCTGCCAAGCACGCGCGCTCGTGCAGTGCAAGCACTGTTCTGGGCCACATGCTCGCGCTTGTAGCATCGGCTGCGTCTGGACCGAAGCTGAAACGAAGTATATAATATGTCTGCGGACACGTTACCCATGTGCCAGGACCGTCATACAAGAAAAGTACACTCAAACAAAAACACATAAAAGACAGTGTCCGCACTCCGTCTTTTCTATAATATATCAGCAGTGTAACCACGGCTTTAAGGACGTTACATAGTCCAACTTAGGGCTGGAACTGTCACTTTAGGTTCCAGTCTCTTTACTCTGTAACAAGTCGAGAGGTAATTGGGATTGTGGAGACGGCAGTCATAGTAAAAAAAAAATGAAGTGTTGTTTACATTGTTCGCTTCTGTACGGGAAGCTACGGCCCTGTTAGGGTGTCTGAGACGTCAGGAGAGTACGTGAACATGGCCCTTCGCACGTAAGGTTTTGGCGATGCGTAATAAAATGTTCCATCATCTTTTTAGAACTCTCTTTTTAAGTCTTTTGCATCTGGCAGTTTTGCCATAAAAAAGTGTCTTCGCAGAAGAATTTCTAAAAACTCTTCTGGGAAGGATCTTTTCATAAGAGTTCGGAGAAGTGGTCTTTTGAGAAGAAGACGTCTTCTCAGGAGACTTCTGAGAGGTTTGAGATACAGTACCATTCGTTCCCACGTTCAGCGTTACTGGAGTCGAAAAGTTATATAACCTGACAATTGACAAGAAAACCACGTGATCTTCTTGTCACGGCGGTTTTCGATGACGAAATAAGCGAATGCTGAGCGCACGTTCGTCTGCTTCTTGCATATGAGAACGCCAAGCTCTTATTGGCTGATCGAAAAAAAAAATATAGAGGGTAGGCATCAAGGCATCTAGCATCGAGGTCTACCCACTATCCTTTCAATCAAAGCCAATCAAAGCTTGGCGTGGTTTTGACGTGATCGCAACTCCTGCGCAAGAGGCAGACGATTTGCTCTCCGAAAACCAGCTAAATATCAATCGTGGTCCACGGCGCTTGCTTGCCGCCCGGCCTACTTAGTCCGTTTGCAACTTTTCTTTCGTCTATGTTTCTAAGCCTTCTGACGTTACACCTTGATGTTTCGGTCGCTAGCGGAAATAGTTGAATGCGTGGCTTAAATGTAAACTGTAGTGGCCACCTCTTTCGAGCTAACTCTACTTAAAGATACTCCCGAGGCGGATGTGTGAAAACAGCTAGTGTACATATTCCCATACTTGTGAGCAAGTTAGAAATAAGTTGCCCCTAATGTCTTTTTACCTGGCATTTTATATAAGCTATAGTCTCTAAACATACACATGCGTGAACATGCCTAGAAAGCACTCTTAACGACTGTGATTTACGACAGTCTAGAAAATGTCTATGAATCTACTTGCTCAAATACCACTCAGGAGTTCACTCTATGCACAGTCTATGGCCTACACTCTAAGAAATGATTGCGCGTCTACTTACACGCAAAAAACTCGAAGAGCCAATCTATATGGTCTACGAAATCAGCTCAGCGAAGGAGGAGGCGGAACATCTGTTTAGACCTCCAAATTAAGTATTCGCTGTCACATTACGCAATACAAGCATGACGCTTTGTATTGCGTAATGCCACAGCGCAGACTTCATTTTTAGGTCTAAACGAATGTTTCGCTTCATCATTCGCTGAGCTGATTTCGTAGATAGCAGAGATTGGCTCATTGAGTGTTTTGCGGCTAAGTAGACGCGCAGGCATTGCTTAGAGGGCATGACAAGTCTATGACAAGTTACAACCTGCCGTTTCGCATGCTGGCGTCATGTTGAATGTCACATCGCAGACTTTATTTTTATAGTTTAGATATAATTTGGGACTCTCATTTGTCTAGCTCTCTTTATAGGGGCAGCGATTAGCTTTTAAGTGTTGTGCAGAAAAATTGACTCGCGCGAATTTTCTAAAATGAGGGTGCTTGGGAAATCTCGTGGAAGAGAAAACGTTTCGACCTAGAAAATAAACTGCATGGGAATTTGAGTACAGCATATGCATTACCGCAGAAATAACCTAGGCTTCGCCGAACGCTCATTTTCCGCCCAAAGTTAGCGCTAGAGATCACAACCAGATTCCAACGTTTCAGCCCGATCCGAGATCTTGTTCAAACGTTATAAGTGATTTTCTTAAAATCACTTAAAACGTATAACTAAAACAAAGTAGCAAACCGGGACAAAATACCCCAGGTTAACTTCTTTGTCTTCCTTTCTGCCCTTTCTTCTTCTTCAATGGGAAAATGGCGGCCGACGGAGTTTTCGAATACATTACACTCTCAGAAAAAAAGGTGTATTATTACACCCCATGTCCCATATAATACACCCCAAAACTTCAATTCGACGTACAGCGCCCCTTAATCGAACAGGCGGCCCCAAAGTTTACGGGGGGCTTGATAGCCGTGTGGTACAACTTATTAAGATAGCTAATGTACGTATTATTGACTATAAAAAATACTATCGGAGTTTTCTTGGCCGTACTGCAAAAGCTCCGTGTTTTCTTTCTTTAATCTTTGATACGTACTTTAGCAACTTAATAAGTTATATCGCACCGTTATCAAGCCCCTCGTAAAATTTGGGGCCGTCTGTTCGACTATAGGGCGCTGTACGTCGAAATAAAGTTTTGGGGTGTATTATATGGAACAAAAGGGTGTACGGTGATACCCTTTTTTTTAGAGTGTAGGCACTATGGCACCAAAAACCGAGAACGGGCAAAAATGGCCTCCATTTTCCCATTGAAATTTTCAGAAAATCACTTATAACTTTTAAATAAGGTGCCCATTTGGGCTGAATCCTTGGCATCTGGTTGTGACCTCTAGCGCTACCTTTGGGCGGAGAATGAGCGTTCGGCGATGCTTAGTTTATTTGTGCGGTTTTTACGAAGACCTAAATCTTCGTAAAACGCAGGTCATTTCGTTCACACGCAAAACCCTTCCTATTTGTATTTATTACTGTCTAGACACTTCTGTGTGGGATCTTGACGTTATGCTAGATGGAAAGCTGAACTTCAACAGTCATGTTGGAATGATCCTGTCAGCCTCTTTTGAAGTATTGAGCGTACAGAAGCCTTATTTTGCCCAAATTATACTTTGCTTCAATTGTCCGGAACAACCTTAGTGCCCTGCTGCAGCAACGTTAGAGCGTGTCCAAAACCGATTTGTTCGTACGTTTCACGCTGGACAAGACCTGTCCCAGCCCTACTCATATGTGAATGCGCTCAATCGCTTAGGATTGATGGAGTTAAAAACAAGACGCGGCAGATGTGATATCATATTTTTGTTCAAGTGTCTGCATGGGTATTATGACTGCCTTTTTATTGTGCCTTGCATCAATCTAAATGTGCCTGTTAGGCATTTTCGCAACAACCGCACGTTTGCCGTTAATCCCATGCATTGTTTCTCTCTTGTAGTTCGCATGCAGAGCTATTTTAGTCATCTTGCTACGCGCCTTGAATTTTTTAATGATGACATCACATCATTTAAGAAAAGCGTTGACAATCTGATTTAGTGCGTTGTCGCCGGGTCGGTTTCTGGATATATTTGCTTCGTCGCTTTCACCTGTGCAATGTCACCTGGTTCTCTACCGTCCTAGGCTTCTGGCCGTTGGTAGGCACTGAAAATAAATAAATAAATAAATAATGACCTTGATGCTCAAATGGACAAACGAGACTTGAAGAAGTCTTGGATTTGAGCGCTTCTAAATCCCGCACTTCGATACATGCGCATTCAAAAGGTGCAATGTACTGAAGCAACCGAACATAATGTGAAAATATTGAAACGCAGAAACGTACAAACAGAAAAATGTGTATTATAACAGAGAAACGTACGGTAAAGGTAATGCATCCCCGAAATCTCAAATTCCATATTAACGTATAGAGCTAGCGCTTGCGATAAGATGCCAAATGGTCGAAATGCATCTTTACATTTTTGAAAATACATTTTTTTTTTGTGTTCAATGGGAGAATGGCGCCTGTTTTGGGAAACAAACGCTACGCCTGCCCGCACGTGTTGGTGGGTGCCTCCGGCAGTCATTTTGATAGCGAAAATATTCGAACGTGCGTTTCCCTTTCGATTAGAATAAAGCTAAGTTCCGAAACTCTCGCATTTAGTCCCTTCCGCGAGCGCTTTATTCGGGCGGTGCATGAACTTTCGACGATATGAGGCAAAACCACAACAAAAAATAGCTTGCTTTTTACTGCCGACTTCCTGAAGTTTGCCAGAGGTTTCATGTTTAATACATGAGGACGCTTCCGCATCCGGATTAAAAACGTAGTCTGGTTTCTTAGAAGCGTTTCTGTCCGCTGCAATATACACTCAAATTGTTTTGCTTTTTTTATCTTTAAATATTTTGCTACGCAAGCAGGACACACTAAAGAAAGGAAGAAAGATTCTCGACAAACCTGGCAGAGTTTGGTTTCTTTTAAGGTTTTAGTTCTGAGTGGATAGCAAAGTTTTGCTAAACCTCAGCGAAATGTCATCTACCGATATAAGCTTTCAGTGTCTGAGCTCTTTTTTCAAAATATATTTGAGAAGTTCAACTTAGTTCTTGATTAGTCGGAATTATTTTGTAATCAAAACCCAAACGAAAACTTTAAAAGTAAATAATGTAGTTTTGTTTGTGTTTAAACTTAAAACGCCATTGAACGCTATATCCTTTTTGGTTTAACTCTGAGATGACGAGCGGAGCTGTGAATTGAAAAATTAATTTGTTTGAGTCTTGTCATTTGAAAAATACTTCTTTGAAAAATTAACATGCCTCTTTCGTATTTTTGTTTCAGTCGAGGACGTCGCCAGAGAAGATGGCTAACGGAATTTCACTAGGCACCAATTACAGGATATTGTCTTTTCAGAAGGTGGGTATTTCATTTGGCTACGACATTTCAATACCCTGACAATTAGTGGCCAACATATTTTTTTGTCTAACTTGGGCTACTAGCTGTATTTTATGTTGAGATTGGGGAACACAATTTGAACGGTGACTTAATGTATATTTCCATGTGCTTTAATAACTGTTCAGTTTCTTACCCATATATTGTGTCGTAAAATACCGTTATTAGTGTGCTTTTGTCAAGCTTTAGTTTTCATAATTACACACATATAGGCTTAATTACGAAAAAAAAAAAGCAAGAGAGACATAACAAATAATACAGACGACACAAGCTTGTGTCCTGTGTCACCGACACGCTCAACCGTCCAGACTGGTTCAGGCAGAAATTGTTTAACCCATTTGATTGCATAATAAACTGCCTGGCTTTTGCCTTTACGGGTAGAATCGAAGGGCTTCGTAAATAAAACAATTCTTACCCTTCTTGATGGGGGTAGGAAATTAATATGTACAATATGTGACTAAATATATCTAATATATGAATTAATCTAAGCTACCTCAATACCAAGACAAAAAAAAAAAAAAAGAGGAAGCACTATATTCTTTTCCGTTAGCGTGACACACACGTAAGATTCTAGAAAGTGTAAGTTCAGGCTGCTATCTTTAGTCGATGACAGGTTAAGAACTCATTAGGTACTTGGCTTCGAGCGCGAGCTTTCGGCCTTCGACAGCACTTTGCCGCACTCTGAGCCAAAACCCGGAGGAGGGCAAGGAGCACGTAATCGAATTAACCTGTCCCCGACTATACTTTCGGGTAGAGCTCGTCACCGCATCTCTCATTTGCGTGTGAGTAGCGCTCGATAAAATTCATACAATCCTGATTGTGATTACGCCTAATGCCGCATGTCTCACATGACGTTTAGTATTGCGCAAGAGTGACGCTCACCCCTACTCCCGATTAGGACGATAAGATAGGACGATAAGAATGAAATGTGAGTAGCGCCCATTTTTGCGAGAAAAAACAAAACACGCACATACACCATGTAAATAAGAGTACTGCTGTATAGGCAATAAGAAAACTAGTACAGTAATCAATACGCCTTTTCAGCGTGGCGTCTAAAAAGATTGCATAAGACAGGCAATGGCAGCCCTCCAAAGGAGATTCTTGAAACGGTCTGCACCAGGGGTTTCAGACTCATTCGGTTGTTGGGGCCAGATAACCCATGCCGGAAAGGTCGAAGGCCAACGTCGGTTGGTTAGGAAGCGGGGAGGGGGCGCATTATGTGTTAGGGCAATAAATAAAAACAGCAGTGGTTATCGCGTTGCAAAGTAGCCGAGTTTCTCAGCGGCGCAGTTTTAACTTTGATCCCTCGATGTGACTACTTTGGGCCCATCTCTGGTGTGATTACAATATGTAAAAGGCCACCGCACCGCTAACGTGCTGACATTAAAAAAAAAAGAAAGAAAAAAGAGCAAGCACACTGTCGCTGCCATGCCGCTGAATTCTCTCTTAAATGAATCGAATTCAACATGTTTTGAAAAAAAAAATATATATATATATATACCTTTGTACGACATTTCTGGTTTGCCTGGCGATCTTTATATCACCATTTTAAGAATTTCATTTTTTTTTTGCGTTTAAATAGTATTAATTGACTGCCAGAAATCGGAGGTTATAGCTTTATCTTTGGAGGTTGCTTCTGTTGAGCTGCCTTGGTGCGGCCTGCGCCCTTGTAGCCTAGTAAATTGTCGTGCATATGAGAGTAACATGAGTAACATGGGACTGGGGGTTTTTCTCAGTAGCTGAATCTTGAGGGCCGCGTCCCAGCGAGTCGCGGGCCGCATGCAGCCTCTGGGCCGCGTGTTTGAAACCCCTAGTCTACACTGTACTCGTTTTCATCTCAAGAAAAAGGGAAGTTCTGCGCATTGTTCATGCGCCGCGCGAAGTGGTTCTTACACAATTCGGTGGTCGGACGAAGAAGCGATGCTTTTGGTGTTTGAAATGTGTATGTTTTGGTAAGATAACACATATACAATCTAAATTGCATCTACATATACCTTAATACTGTACATAAAGAGAGAAATTAGTAATGCTCCGCGAGGCGCCGGACTTTTTTTAACTAAGGTTCTTAAGGTAAAACGAGCATAGAGTCACTAAAGAAGCCACGCTTGAGAGTATCGATACGCCAGTCATCTTGGTACTATCATTGTTGTCAGTTATCTATGTAAAGCTTTAACTACAATGGCAGGAAAAGCTTTTTTTTTTTTTTTGTCTTTTAGAAATGTTAAAACGGATTGCGATAAAGCAACGCGATAGCGCCTGAGCTCTCGGTAAACCGCAGTTCCGAATCTTATAGCGATCTTCACTTGTGCCGCCTGTAGACCAAATACCGAAATAACGGCACTCACGAAAAAAAATGGGAATAGAGTGTGGATACTCTAAGCATAACTTATTTAATCAGTCTATATCGGGCTGCTCGCTGTACTCGAACTTAACGTGCTCGCGGTGAAATCTCTCGAAGGTGACCACTGCAGGAGGCGAACAGGTGCAGTTGCTGAAACTTCGAAACCCCGTCGGCGTCGGGTCGGACTACATCGGCAGCTGGTCGCTCGAGTAAGTTGAAACTCACTCGCGCACGTCAGCGTCCGTAGTTGCGTATCACTCTACGAAATATCGAACGTCTACTTTCCCGACTTCGGACAGCCCATCGTGGCAATCCACGGAGCCAGCTCGGCGAATGAGTTGAACCTAATCTTAGACTCCAAAAAGTCGGCCATTTGCACGGGGACACCGAGTATGACGTATCAAATGCTCTTTTTTGTTTAATGTTTAGCCATATTATCAGCCTTGTCGTTGCCCGAGCTCGCTTCGTTGGTTGCAGCGAGTGGTTCTCCCACGTGCTTTAAGGGGAAACCAGGCACTCCAGATTTTCTGGGGTACGTTGGCTATTGTCACGGACAGCTTAAGAAACACTGGGCGTGGCTTTTTATGTTAATTCACGCTTCTCGTTTCCTGATTGGTTCTCCGGCGTTCTTATCGGCTAATGCCGCAATCTCATTGGCTGCGAAGCGATAATGAGATGCTCGGAACTCGTCACGCATTGCGTTTCTACAGCTGTCAGTGACTATGCGGAGCGCAAGTTCGTGTGCTTCTTGCGCAGGAGTTGCGGTGACGTCAGAACAACGCCAAGCCCTTATTGGCTGATCGAAAAAAATATTGGGGGTAGACTGTAATAAGGTGGAGAACTGGGCCAGTTGGTTGAAGTTATACATGATGGGGAAAACAGCTCAGAAAATACGGACTACGAAGAGGAAAACACACACACACAGCCTTGTCCTGTCGTGTGTGTTCCTCTTTGTAGTCCGTGTTTTCTGAGCTGTTTTCCCCATCATGTATTGGGGTAGAACTCGAGTAACCTAGCATGGCGGTCAACCCACTCCTTTCAATCGAAGCTATTCAGAGCTCGGCGTCGTAATGATGGCACCGCAACTCCGGCGCAGGAAGCAGACGACTTGCTGTCCGCATAGACCAACGTTATTAGATTAGCTCAGTTACGGAACTGCTCATAGACGCTGCATGCACGAGCAGTACCCCCGCTCACTCACCACGACTCGCCTCCCGTCGTTCGACGCGCCGGACGGCTGCTTTGGTAACTGCAATGCATTCTATGCGACACGTGCGTTTCGAAGCGCAGCGTCTAGATGGCGTTCCACCGTACTCTATGAAACACACAGTTCGTAAACGAAAACCTAGATGGCGGTACGAACGACGGGAGCCGGACTGAAGTGAGTGAGGGGGTACCCCCTTCCGCGGGAGTTCCACAACTGAGGTAATCTAGTAACGCTGGCATATACTAGCTCAACTCTCTGACGTCATGCCATTGCGGTGATGGTGCTATCGGTACTGCGCGTGCGCCGACGCTTCCCTGATTCGGTTTCTGCGGGCGCGCAGTGCTGGTCTGGGCAAGTGCGAGTTTGGTTTTTAAGCAGTGTGTTGGGTGTATATCAGTGCTTAGACTCGCCAAGCGTTTGTTAGCATTCGAGCAGGGTACGACCTAATCGGGCGATGTAAGATGGAGTTCTAGTATATCGTTTTCAAAGGCCCGCTATCGCTACGGGCGCGCGCTTCAGAACATGCATCCAAGTGGCAGCGTGAGTTCCCGCTACAAATAGCGTGGTCCGAAAACACGATCTACTAAAACTTTCCAATGACGAAGAGTTTACGCTTGCTGACATTGCGTAGATGTAAAAAAAAAAAAAAAGTCTCTGGCGTTAGTATTAACATAAACCACCCAGTTTGGTTTCACGCATGAACGTATTCGAATACCCAGGTGCTCGTAGAGGCAGCGTCTTCTCAGCGGATTTTGAAATTCCTAATAATAATAATAAAAAAAAAAACGTTTTCTTGTGCTTGGTAATGTGTCGCCATCCCGGATGGTGTAAATAGTCAAAATATCTGTTATTTTCTTGATAACCTTTCTAACATTTAAATTTAAGTGTGCTTGAACTTTTAAAATGCCTGCTCGTGGCTGGCAGTATGTTAAATATTATAAAAGTGAGAATCACAATTGATAGGCGATCGTGTGTACTCCATAACTGTGCCATATACGGTCATTTTTTTGTCTTTGTTTTTACTTTCCAGTTCTTTGGAATGGGACAAGGTGCCGCCCGAAGAACAAGAAAGGCTCAACTACAAGAGCACGTCAGAGGGAGAGTTTTGGTAAGTCGCACTGGCACGGTCACCAAACGCCATTTACTGTTATCGAGAACACATCGATATTAGCTTCTAGTGCACAACACTCTCAAGACTGATGCTGATGTAAACTTCGTTTCACTTTAAAGGCCCCTTCATACAGGCGCGTTTGCTTACGTTGTTGTTACGTTACGTCATGTATCACCGGGACATCCGTGAATAAAATGTCCCGTGGAAAGTTGGTTCATAAACTGTTTGCCATGCTTCGTACCAAGTACACATGTCCCAGTGACTCTCGTTGTAAGCAGGCGTAAGCTCACGTAACGTAACGTAGCGTAACGAAGAAGCGCCATGACGATTAGGTTTTAGCGCTGCGTGATTTACTTCAATGGATTGTAGCGTAAACTGCGGTTGGAACCTAAAGTAAACAGAAGTATAGTGTAGTGAGGTTTGTTGTAGTGACGCATTATACACAACAACGACATTCGTTGTTGCTTGATAGTATGGGATGCATTCTTATCATTCCACATCTCTCGATTTTCGCTATTTGAAAAAGAAAATACGAAGTAAATATAAGCAAGGACTTTTTAACATATCGATAAACAAATACTGGACTAATAATTTGATTATTCTGATTTTATCTCTTGCATTCAAGATATTCGACTAGAAAGTCTGAGTTGATAAAACCAAAGAGTGTTATAATGTTATAAAGTGCAGCGTTTTGCCAGCCTTTGCTCTCCACAGCTGGGTTTGTTGCTTCACTTGTTCAGGGACTTTACACTGTTGTTGTGTCCGCAAAGATAGTACTTTGAATAGCCCATATTTATTGCGCCTATTTCTACCCAAAATGAAGGGGTAGGTTTAACGCGCCGCAGTTTGGAGCACGTGGAGCGGAAGCTCGCCCTGCAGAACCCTGGGATCCTGGGCTCGATACCCACCGTTTCGATCTGGATGAGCATCGTGCCGGCATGCGCTCGTGTACCACTACTGAGATGTACACGTTAAAGACTCCAGGGTAGCAATTGTACTGTACTAACTAAATGCATTCACAGTACAGACACCAGACGCCAATCGAGGCTGACTAGCCTCCCGCTGTCTAAACAAAGACACAACGAAATAGCCGTCTGAAATGAACACCCTAAACCATCGCCGTAGCAAGAAGCAGACTTTTCGAAAGAATTGTCTCCGAGGCAGAATGAAACGTGCTCGCTCTGTCGGCGACTGCCCACAGGATGTCGTACCAGGACTTCATGAAGACCTTCACGTCCCTCGAAGTGGTCCACCTGGACAGCGAGACGAGTCGGGACGAAGTCACACTCAGGGAAAAGGTGCCATGGCAGATGAAAGTCTGGAAAGGAAACTGGCAACGAGGGGTCACGGCCGGAGGCTGTCGCAACCACACCGGTAAGCCCTTCGGCAGGAATGGCCGATGAATGACACTATACTTGATTAGACTAACGCGATAAAGTTACTTACAGTCATTAGGAAACCTAATTTGATCTAAGTTAAAACGTAACGTCCTAGATGTTTCAGAGTGTCAGGATGACTTTCGCTAAGTTACTTGCCATCTCCAGGGTGCTAGGCATCTCAGAGAAGCATCTGCTACCACTTTAAGGTTTCGAAGATAGTTCTTTCTATAGACATTGAGAGCGTAATAAACACAACGCATACTAATTTTCGAGACCGTAACAATTGCGACATTAGAAGATAAGAAAGCCGAAGAGCCCCGGTTCGACTATCTTCGTTGTTTGTTTGTGCTAGCCTAACCTAGCATGGCTTTCAAGAAACGGAGGGCGTGGTTTAATACTTTCGCGCTCCTTGCTTCGGTGACTCGTTCTTCAACGTCCTTGTTGACTTATGCCACACTCCCAGTGGCTGCGAAATGATAATATGATTCCCAGGAATCACCACGCTCTGCATTTTTTAAACCCTCAGTAACCAGAGCGCGCTTAACCCTAACAAAAGTTGATCTCACCTTTCGGGAAATGAGTTTCGATTAGTGCGAACTCGGCAACGAAAGCTAAAGCTAGCGTTTTTTGCGAAGGTGAGTTTGATAAACTTTACTTAAGTTTGGAGTGCAGCAAAAGCTGCCGGTGCAAGGCCTTGAACGGCTCTGACTCTGCGCGACGCGCTGTGCGGTGGGAGGGGCACCAAGGGTTAGAGCGTGCGCTTGTAGCGTTACCCGCGTGATAAGATAACGCTGTAGATTCCTCAAAATTTACGTGACGCGTCTGCTTGTGAGAACCTCCCAACCACCCGTAAGAAAATTCGCATTAAAAAGGGGACATGCCCAATCTAATTTTCGCTGTGCTACTTGAGGTAGAGTAGCCACATCCGAGTTTAGTACTGGCACAGTTTTAGCTTTGTGCGTAAAGCGGTTTCTATCTGTTGATGTTGCAGGTTTTTTCTTTCTTTTCAGATACGTTTCACATAAATCCTCAGTTCCAGCTGATACTGTCTGAAAGTGAGGAAGTTGTCATCTCTTTAAGTCAGGACGCAGTTATCGAGCCAAAAGTCATGGGATTCACAATCTACCAGGTAATACTGCACGTACCAACCACTGACAGTTTGCGTACATCTTCCGGTGCCTTTAGTCAAAAGAAATTGGTATTGCGCACAGAAATGTATGATAGTGTTTAAATTTGTACTGTAGAATAAAAAATAGGAAATAAAATTACGTAACTGGAGCAGTCTAGCGCGGCATAGATGAGCTTTATTTAGATCGATTAAGTAACAATTTTATCGTTGGAGGAAATTATTGGCCATGTAACATAATTTCTCAATCACTGTGAACAAAATAAAATAAAATTTAATCAGTACATTTATAACACACGGAAATAAAGTGCTTACTATCCCCCCTTCCCCCCCCCCCCCCCCCCCCAAAAAAAAAAAAAAAAAAAATCTTTTTGGGGTCAGCTACTGCGTTATACCGAATGAAAGCTTGGCGCACCGCGAGATAAAAAAAAAAAAAAACAGTTACACAAAGAAATTAACTTTTCTTTGCAATGCTCAGAATGACATTTCCTGTATGACGTCGTATTGAGTGTCCGAGCGCGGAGGGCAGTTTTTGAGCGCAGCTCTTAAGGCCGAACCACATAGGGCGTATTTCGACGTATTTACGGGCGTTTCGGCGGACGTAATCCCGACGGAAAGCAGGTGTCGGGACGACCACGTCCTCGATGCTTCGAGCTTCGCGTAAATACGCGCGTATTTAGCGATCCGACCGAGACAGATCTCGACGCTTCGGCGTATTTCGGCGTGGCGTATCCGGAAGCGTACGGCGCTGTGCCGGCCAATCAGCTTCCAGAGTTGACAACCGGAATTTGCTCGAGGATCGGCTTGCCTAGCTAAGCGGCCGGCTGGCTGGCTTGACTCAGCCGCCAAAATGGAAGCTCGGTTGGCGCGCTCGGCGGTTTATTTGCGAACTGTATAGGAAATCGCTATATCTCTTTGGAACGAGCGAAGAACGACTGAGATAGAAGAAAATAGCATCTATGTTGCGGACGATGTGAAAAAGCGATAAAAGGAAGGGTTTTGAGCAGAGGCCGCGGCCATCCCCCTGCCAGGACTTGTTGGCAACTTGGCGATCGCAAGGGACATCAATGAAACAGGCGTTAGCAAATTAGGCTTTCGTGGTTGATTAACATATAGTTATTTCTGTGCCCCTTGCGGAACGCAATAATATAGCAGCCAATACATTTGCCTCCTTTCGTGAAAAGCGCGAGTCGGCTACACTGCGCCAAACGCCGAGGACACGTTGACGAAAAGCGCCATGTGTCGTCTGGCGACCTTCCCTTCTTCCCTTCTGTGAAAAAATTACCCGCCAAATGCCGTGATTATGCCCTCTGAAACTTGCGTAAATTCGTCTAGAATACGCCCTATGTGGGTCGGCCTTTAGGCGCTCGTTTCGGGCTTGAGCGGCGTCGGCGTCGCCGTCGCCGTCGGCGTACTGCGCGTTGCATTGTGGGACGTTTCCCACAATTGAGTCACAGATGACGTCACGTGTGACGTCACGAGGGTCACTAGGGTCACGAGCGACGTCACAAAGATCACTCGTGAAGATCACGACCTTCATAGGGACCTTCACGAGGCCTTCAGGAGTGACCTCCGTGAGTGCCTTGACGAAGGTTACGAGTGACGTAACGAGGGTCACAAGCGACGTTACGAGTGGCGTCACGAGTGGCGTAATGAGGGAGGAGAAAAAGGGGAGGGGCAAGCCCTCCTCTCCGTACCTTCCCCTTCTCCTCCTCAAGAGCTGCGCTCTCATTCGGCATTACAGGAAATCGTAAACGTCTTTCATTTTTTGATTGGCACTTTATTCCGCTTCAGTGTTTGCCGAGCACCGTCTGTAGATCGTAGTTCTTGGCTGAATGAGTATTGTACTAAAATTAAGCGAACTTGCATTTATTAGACTAAATTTGCCGACCACATTATTTCACACTATGCACGTAATACGCAAAATAAGATGTGTTTATTATTCATCTCTACAACAAAAACAAACAGGAGAGCGACAAATAAAGAAGATAACATGCTCAAATCTAACATCCGAAGCGTGAAATTACATTTCATTTTTTACGTGGCAGGCGTGAGCTTGCCTAAACATTTGAATAATTTTCTAAGTGATTCTTATAGAACAATACTTGCAGCTTAGGCTTTTAATCGATGACAAAGGGACGTAATGTCGGACGCCGGAAATGCTTCTTCCAGATGGCAAAACCGCCCAACGAAGCACTTGGGAAAGCATTCTTCAAGAAAAACAAATCCCTCCTCAGTTCCCAGTACAGCAACTGCAAACAAGTGAGTCATCGTAATTTCAATGGAGATCAAGTCACTTGGCTGCCAGTACCGACAGTTAAGGGTGTTACTTAAAATAACACTAAGAAGCCTTGAAATGCCCCTTGGGAATGTTTTAGCCATTGGCAACTGAAGATTTCCAAGGAGTCCAGAGGTTTACCTAAGATTGCGAATCTAGGGTTCTGTTGCAAATTTCTGGAAAGCCCCCCCCCCCCCCCCCTTATAAAGGGAGGATATGTAACATAGGTTGGGGTACTTTGTGTAGGAAATTCGGTTGGGGTGGGGGGGGGGCTCAGCTTGGGGGTTCATTAAAGGGATGCTGGGCGTGTGTGAATAAATCACTGAACGAGTGCATTTAATATAGATAACTTTACTTCTAGTGCCAGCTTTCCAACCTTTCTGGAGTTTTAGAGTTGTGAAACGTCCTCTCTTTTTGTTTATCAGTCACTGCCCAAAATGTTTTTCTTCCTACCTACTTTAGTGATTTCATTCTTTAGATACAATGGCTTGTGAAAGTATTATGTGATCTCATTGTGTTTAGGTTCAATATACCATATAATGTTTGTCCATCGTCATAATGTGAAAGTTCTAACTGACGAATTCGCGAAGCTGTAAAAAGATGCACCGCCGTGCCATTTCACCTTATAAAAAAGAGCACTCATCACACAGGGATACTGAACCGAAATCTGGATTTTGCAAAATAAGGTCGCAGAAGCGTTGAACGTGACGCTATGAACTCCAAGACATCAATCATACATCGATGTCTCAAACGGATAGCCGTGCTTTTGGAAAAGAAGGGCGCGATCAAGCAAAGCCTTTGACACCATTGTCCTCCGGGAGATTTTGAGAATGAGTGGAAGCTGCCCCGTTTCTCTCCTCCTTGCTTCGGTTTACCAGCTCGACGGGACATAGCGAGGAGAGGGAATGGAAATCGTGACGTGACTTGTCTGAAACGGCCTCGTCGGCCGTGTTCAGTCGCGCACTTCTTTTCCAAAAAATACGGCGATCCGTTAGAGATATCTCTGCATGAGTGATGATTTTGGGTTTTGCAGCGTCCCGCCAATCCGTCCAGCCTTGTTTTGTGAACTCGAAATTTCGGTTCAGTATCCCTTTCATGGCGCAAAATATCTAACGGTGACATTTCACAGAATTCGTCTTCATAGCTCTCATACTTAATTTCAACTTGAAAAAGGAAGTTGAGCCAAGTCTGCAGTAAATAGGGGATGGTCTGGAATGGTGCTTCCCGGTTGCTCAAGTGGATGCGTTTCACTAAAATTATGGACCAAGTTTATTTCTATAGAGTCTTGCTCTTGTTGAGTCCATTTAAAACAACATAATGTTGATCAATAACTGAAATACGTCCACAATTTTAATTAAAAAGAAATGCTACTTAGTTTGTACATTGATAGGTTCAAGGACACCTTCACATCCGCAGGTCTCCGTGAGGTGCGTGCTGGAGCAAGGAGGCTACGTACTTCTACCAACCACCTTCGAACTTGGTCAGGAGGCTGCATTCACATTACGGGTCTTCTCGGGGAAACCGACCAAGTTAAAGTAAGACTTATTAGCACGTTATTCTGTAAATCCCACCGTATCACCTTAAAAGCTTCAACTGGTATAAAGCTGACCAGTGATTGTCCGTCCCATTTCTTTTCTCGCAAAGGCTCATAGACAGTGCACCCAGCACAGTCAAGCCTGCAATCATGAAGGTGAGTCGGTTTGTTTCCAAACGTTTGCCGTCGGGTGTCGTCATCATTGTCATGAAAGCTCATTCATTCATAAGCACGCTAAATATAAAACAATAAATCGACAATCAACTATATCATTATCATGTATTTTGATGTCATCATATCGATTGTCAATATATTCATCAGCACAATAAATGCAAAAGATAAGTGACCAAATCTCATATCTCGTTATCCGTAGCTTTATTCTGACGCATTGCCTTATACCTATGCCATATGGAGGAGCTGAATGGAGTGCACCCCAGTGAGTCTAAGGAGCATGGAGCAAGTGCATGCAGAGAAAATCTCGCAGGTTCACCCATGGGCGTACCAACCGGGGGGGGGGGGGGGGCTTGCAAGCGCTTGCCCCCCCCCCCCCCCCAGTTCTCAGAGTGGGGGGCAAGGCGTGTGTTTTGCCCCCCCCCCCCCCCCCCCTAAAATAGCCGCCACTGGGCAGGGCAAACACTGTCCGGCGGTGCTTAAGGGATACCAAGGGCACCGGCCCCCGGCTTTGGGGGGGGGGGGGGGGGTCTGGTTTGCCCCCTTCCCCCCCCCCCCCCCCTCCCATTCAAAAACAAGTTTGTACGCCACTGGGTTCACCTTTCTGATTAGGAAGGCGGCGAACGGCAATGCCGACACAGCTTTCTTGGCCTCTAAAAATTGCGGCTACCCCAAATGTGCTCGAGCTATCAAAGCATAACAAACTCTTGGTCTCAATTGTCAGACAATCAAGGAACACTGCTCAAACTCTGCCTTACTTACATAAAAATACCAATCTTTCGTTAACTCGATCAGTTTTGTTCATGAATCACAACTACAGTAATCTAACACCAGTTGGTAACCCTCGAGGGTGTTGCCGTTAGAGGGTATTCGGTACGTCCCCAGACAGCGTTTGTTAAATGTTTGTCATGTTGTGCTAGGTCATAGCAGTTCAATGCTTTAAAAATAGTCCAACAAGTCTACCAATTCTACCGATTTTGAACCCGCAGGGCTTGATGTGGTGGCGCTTACTCTTCTAGTAACAGTTGCAGGGTAGGTCCTGATATGTTGTATTCGCTCCAGCTGAACTACGTTCGCTTGACATAATTCATTGGCTTGACGCCTTAACATATACACCATGAGTGAGCAGAACACTGTAGCTCATCGCTGTTCGTCACGAGGAACTAGACATTGCTTTCACAGAAAACTAGTCTGCGATGTGGCGCTAGGCAGGGCGTTTCACATAACTGCGTTCTGCTCACTGCAACTGCGGATTTAGGGATGGGGGCGGCGACTACCCCTCCCCAGTTTCCCAAACGCCACAGTTTTTAGAAAATAAACAGCGTGCACCAGCTTTAAAAAAAGGGAAAAAAAATAACAAGTCTGGACAATGTTTCGCACGTAACGTCACATCATTCCGTGACGTAAGATCTCTCTGGAGGAGCCTCCCCCTTTCCCATTCCCCAAGCCTGAGCAATATATTCGCCTCTAGTTCCCTCTCACATCGCAGACTTAATTTTAAGGCCACACCTATTCTCCTTTGTCTGCTCTAATTGCCAACTTAGCTAGTAGACTGCAGTGAGTAGCTCTCCAAGCACTGCGGGAAAGCAGAAGTAGGACCCTCCTCTTACGGTCAAGAGCAATACTCTCAAATAGCGGTGTTGCGATATTGTAAGGAGTACATTTCATTGCAAAGAACGTACTCAATAAGTAAAAGTGACGTGCCATTGTTTTGCAGGCCACGCCATCTTTCGACAGCAAGGTCAGCTCGTACGAGGCAGTTTTCCTTCAGGTCGCCGACGAGCATTCCTCGGTGAATTGTTTCGAACTGCAAGAGCTCCTCGAGGCCTGTTTGCCGAATGGTACTATCACCTTGATATCATTCAATCTCAGTAATTTACTTTAAACTCTCGGAATGACGCGACCATGTCCGTAGGATGCAGTAAGGCTCCATTGAATATACCGACATTTAACTAAGCTGCACGGACGATCATATGTTGAAGAATGAATTACTAGCAACCTGTGCTGTGACGTCACAGTGTCAAGTCGTGGGGTAAGGTACAACCATGGCGTCACGGGCATAAATTTCCCCGCTATGTTTAGCGTGGTAATAGACAGAAGATGGATGGACAGACACCATCCTGGTATTAGGCTGTTCCGCTAAAAAACATTCCGTGCTTAAAAAAAAATTCTGTAGGGGTTTCTTTTGAAATTTCTGCGAAGAGGGCCCGTTTCTGTAAAGCTTAGTTTCCTTGGGGCATTGCAAAAGCCTAGACCCTTAGTGCGACATTAAAGCTTTATAGAAAAGACATTTCAGTTTTTTTTTCTGGAAGCTTCCAGTCTTTTTGTAACGAGACATAAGTTATCTTTAGACGATGTAAGGAGCTTACCCGAGGAAATGCGTACCAGCAACTCCAAAGAAAATGAGCACGTACGCTGAAAGTCAGCATGTGCAACCTAAGAAATTTGCTCGCGTTTATAATACACCGCGCTACCCTGGAACACAAGCCGCCCACATTGTCTTAATCAGTTAAGTTAGTTAAAAGGGCCAATGGTAGCACTCTCCAGTAGTCACGCTGCTGTAGTGGTGAAAGGGAGGACAAACGTCTTATTTCCACTGAAACTGCACGACTGTAGGAACTTGTATCGCCTTTTCTACTCAGTGGCTCGGCTCATTAAGTGGTTGGCGTTATGAAGCCAACTCGATGCACTATATATTGTCACGAATGACAAGTGATGAGGCGACGAATGACTGAAGAAAACTAAACGTTTAATGGGGCGAACTTGTGGCCAAAACAAAATAGAAGAAGGCTAGCGTCGCAGGCGTCGATGTCGGCGGAACAGCAGGCTCGAGCGCTAGGGCGAGACTGACTCCGGCTCGCCACACGGAACCCCTTATGTACACGCGTCGGCTTCTGGAACATTCGTAACTCGATCAGGATATAAGTTTCTGGAACGTAAGAGAACGTTAAATAAAAAAAAAAATAAAAAAAGCGTTCGCTTCCAGGGATCGAAAGTGGAGCCTCCGCGCCAAAGCCAAGCACGGTAACCATTCGGCCACGCACGCGTTCGCTCGCAGATGCGCGTGGCAATACACAATGTTTTCGACAACTATGTTTGATCTGCTTGAAAAAAACAAGCTGGCCAAGCTGCATTGAAAAATGAAAAAACAAAAAAAAACAAAAAAAAAAAACAGCAACGTCGCATTATTTATTAAAATATCAATTTTTTTTTTGTACGGCGATGCTTATAGGGTAACGGCATACACTCTAAAACATGCCCGTGCGTCTACTTCCCCCTAGAGCACTCGGGGAGTCAATCACCGCAACTTACGGAGGCAGTTCAGTGAATGACGATGCCGAAACATATGTTTAGACCCTAAAAGCGCAGTCTGAGTTGTGACATTAAGCAATGCAAAACGTCACGCTTGCATTGCTTAATGTAACAGCTCAGACTGCGTTTTTTGGTCTAAACATGTTTCCGCATCGTCATTCGCTAAGTTGCCTTCGTTATTGCAGTTATTAGCTCTCCGAGTGTTGTGCGGGAAAGTAGACGCACGGGCTTTTTTTAGAGTGTAATTACTGGTTGTTCAAACAGTCTCCTCCAATATAATATTTTAATGTCTTCTAGAGCCCAGCACGTCATCCCTAAAAAAGCTCGTTTTTGAAAAGTGAGCGAAGTACAGCGTGTTCTCGAAACAAATTTTCACTGCTTGTTTTTTGTTTTTGTTTTCACCGCAAAATAAAATTACGTATGGCCGAGCGCTTACTCCACCCAAATGTATCGCTAGTGGTCTAGATTAGATGCCAAAGTTTCAGAGGTTACCGATATTTAATTCAAAAGTCACAAGCAATTTCCTGATACTTTCGATGGAAAAATGGTTCGTGTTCTTGGTAGCTGGCACCATTCATCTCCATGTATCCGTGGGCTTCGTCGGCTGTCATGTTTCCATTTAACGCTTCATAAGATCACATAACTTTTAAATGAATAAATGGTTACCTATGAAACTTTGGAATCTGGTCTGAACCGCCAGCGCTAGCTAGATGTGGGCAGAGACAACGTTTGGCGATGCGTAATTTATATTTGTGATAAAAAAAGAAAAAAAAACAAAAAAAAACACGGCCGTCTGATTTGAGAACAAGCTCCAGAACTAAAGTGGTGAGGCAGGCGAGCTGGTTCTTGATTTGTAAAATTAAAGCGCTAACAATAGACAAGGACGATAAGGGAGGTGAACAGGACTAGCGCACGTCCTGTTCTCCTTCCTTATTGTCTTTGTCCATTGTTAGCACCTTTAGTTTCATAAGACACGCTGTAGAGTATATGCGCACAAGCACTCGAAAAGACACCTGCCAACACCCTTAATTGTAAACATCTGTAAAAAAAAAAAAAAAAAAAAAAAAACTTGTTTACGCTTAGTTGCGAAATACGATCTACTTGTCTCGCATTTTCAAAATTGCGAGTTATAATTTATATTTATTATTATGTTATAATGTGATAAATTATTTTCCGTTTCTTCTTCTTAAGGTTCTTATTTCTCTTTGTTTGTTCTTCCAATCCCCGAAATCCGCCGTTCTGTTTTCCCTTTCTTGGCGAAGTATTACCTCCGTTCTCGGACAGGTTGAGCTTCCTGCGTTTTCAAATGACATTTTATTCCTCTTTCATTTTTTTTTCATTTTTTTTTTCAGATTACGTCAAGAGCTGCGCAACCTTGGAGGTATGCCGCCAGGTGGTGATGGCGCTCGATGTATCCTTTTCATAACAAAAACGAGAACCTTGACCGAGAACTTGAAACTTTCTTAGAATCTCATTTGATTACATACTAAGAGCGGAGACTGTAGAAGCTCTTCGGGGAATGCGGAATAACAAACCCGCCAACTTCTTCATTTTTTTTTATGCGCGTTGTTGTCTCAACAATACCCTATTGATGTTAAAATTGTGCGATACCTTCCTTTTTGTTCCTAAAGATATCACCTACATTTTCCTCCGCGCCAAGTCAACCACTGATACTAACTATAAACGTATGCAAGAGCGGCCTCTGGGCGCCGCCATCTTGCTGCTGGTGTGGGTAGATTATCTGATAATCAAACATTGCTGAGGTGTACCTACGTCCTCAGCAATGCTTGACCATCAGACTACTTACCCACACCAGCAGCAAGATGGCGGCGCCCAGAGGCCGCTCTTGCAAACATCTATGCGGAGCGCAAGTTCCTCTGCTTCTTTTGAGGGGGTTGCAGTGATGTAAGAACGCCTAGCTCTGATTGTTTCTGATTGAAGGATGGTCAGTAGACCTAAAGCAAGCTGCCTTGAGGTCTACCCACTATTATTTAATCAATGCCAATCAGAGATCGGCGTTCTGACGTCACCACAACCCCTGCAAAAAAAGCAGACGAACTTTCGTTCTGCATAGGCACTTGGTACTTAAGAAAGGCGGTACGTAAAGAGTCCCGTGCATTTCATTATATCTTCTCAGCCCATCAGAACGCCGAAAAACCAGTCACCGAGTAAGTGGCGCGAACATAGCATACCACGCTTTGGATTTCCTAAGATGTCAGCAACCATATCAGTGACTAGAAGGACAGCACTTAAAAAATTCCAACAATATCGTGGCAATGGCAGTTGTGACACAGAGTACATTATTCTTTTTTTTTTCTCTCATAGTGCACTGAGAAACGTGGTATGGATGTTCTGCATATACGCCGCGAACATCATCGTCGTGCGTGGAATCTCTGAAAGAAAGCCCTGCCTAATGCTAACGCGCCAGCGGTGCAGGAACGCCAAGTTCGCGTCTCTCGCGTTTGACCCTGCTATTTCTCAATTTCCCCCCTCCCCTTTGTTTCTGCCAAAGCACGTGCCTGTTCTCTCCTCCTGCACCCCGCACACTTTCTCGTGATAAGTGCGTGCTTATCATTGCCATCACGATTGATACTCATCAGAATTCGAGCTCAATACCGCTCGCTATCTCGATTGACCAAACAGATGAAAAATACATTAATTGTTTCGGTGTTCTTAGTGCACCGGGAATTAGCAGAGTCGTAGCATGCAGCATGAGTTGCATGCAGCAACTCATTTATGCCACCGGTGGTGATAAACATAAGCTCAGCAAGGTTTAGTAAAGTGCACCATATGTTTGTGACCAGACCCCAGGTAGCACAGTTCTTAAGAAAAAAAAATCGGTTTTGTTTTGTGTGTGTTTGGTTTGTTTGTTTTTTTGTTTTTCTTTTTGGGGGGGGGGGGGGGGGAGGGGGGTTTGGGGATTAAAAAAAAAACTAGAAGAAGCCTGGTTAGAGCCAAACGTGACATTTCTAGGCCCGAGTCTGGGTGTCTTTACCCCAATTCGCCGAACAGGCGGCGAACTTTGGCCTTCACTTCATCACACATTTTTGGGCCTATCGGCAAACAAGTGCGCAAATTAAGGTTCACTTCAGATTTTTCGGCTCCTACGTGGCTCATATCTTGCCCTTTGCTAATTATGTGGTGAGTCAAAGAAAAGCCACAGAAACGCCAAAGTGCTCTGGCACTAACTAAGGCCTCGAGCCAAACCGTATAAGGCCCAAGTTATCCGCATAGGATTGCCGAGCTCGTGCCAAGTTATTTGTGAACCTTAACGCATATGGCACAGACGACTGGAGTCGGACGGTTGAGGTTCCAGGAGTACAAGAACTTCATGTGCAGCCTCAAGTACTGGCAGGGCACCTTCAAAAAGCACACCAAGGGCACGTCGGGGATTTTGAGAGCCGAGAAGCTACGCGAAGCTCTGATCGACATCGGTATATGCAGATTCATCTTTCTTTCTTGAATCGTAAAGATGCTGGCACTAATGTTCAGCGTTGTCAACACCTTTTCATGTTTAGCTGAAGGGCCGCTGCGCTGAAGGTCAGAAAAAAAAAAAGAAACGAGTGATATCTCTTTTAAGCAGGAGTGAAACCGCTTATATATCATAAGAAAAACAGTCTGCATACAGATTTAAACGCGAGTCACCGCGAGATCCTTGCTTCAAATTCCGCACGGCATTGACGTTAAAGGGGCCATGAAACAAATTTTGGGTTGAGATGAATGATTTTAAATTGGGACTTTACTAATCGTATATCGTTTAGTTGGCCAAAAGAAAGATGCTAGAAAGTCAAAAGCCAGCTTTTCGGTTCGAACCTTTGAAAATATAGCGGACTATTTTGTACGTTCTTGCTTTCGAAAGCTCTCCGCCTTTTCACTATGATACATCCGCGGTTCCAAAAGCGCGTCACCGGCGCCAAACTGACGTCAGCAGAGCCCAGCTCACGGATTGGACACGAGAACTGCGTCACTCGGACGTATGCGCTCGTCAACAATCAATCCGTCGACGAATATTTGGATTCGCGTTCGTGGCCAATGAGTGCCCTAACGGAACTTATTGTCACTAGGGAATGACAAGTTCTATGGTGTCCATAAAAAGCACGGTGGAAGCTAGGAGTCATCGCACCGGTGCCGAAGGAATGTCACGACCACGTGATTTCACAATTCGCATTTGAGTTGAGGATTAAAGCTAAGGAGGAAGAAGTAGGAAAATCGTTTCATGACCCCTTTAAGGAGAAAACTTGGGCAGGCGGCATTCGAACCACGGATATTGCGGTGACTCCTATTTGCAGACTGTCGTTCGTATGATGTGTGAGGAATGTGACCCCGGCGTTTAGTGGGACCTACAATACGCATGACCAAAAATGACACGCCAAATAGACGCTGACATCCTCGCTTGAACCACCATTGACATTGATCTTAATGAGATCCTTAAGCCGCATTCGCGTTGCTCGTACATTGTAAAAACGACGTGGTGTTTCCTGCTGACATGGTGAGACAATTTTTTGCGGACACTATTATCTGCGGACTTGTCTGCAAACATTTTCTGAACGACCAATGTGACAGGGCCTTCAGACAAAGAAGAAACTCTGCTCAGGCAGTGTCTGCAAACTGTATTTTGTACGATGTGTTAGCACTGCGACCACGGCTTTACAGTGCCATCGGCGGGTGAGCTGTCAGACAAGATTTTGTAAATGTTCGTGCGCTTCGTGCTCTTTCACGGAAATCTGATCCGGCGGCCGGGGTTGCTGTCTGCGTTTCTGGCGGATAACTGGAATTCTATGTGCTACTGAGATTTGAAGAGTTCAACTAGCGTGTGGACGTAGTTACTAAGGGTCTGAGAGCCAAGCACAGATGAAGGACAAGGATCATGTCCATGTCCGTCCTCGTCACATTATTGTGCTTAGCTTTCATATTCTTGGGTGTTGATATTACTTAGAGCATTGGGTTTCGTTCCAGTTTAGATAGTGGTTCAGCTTCAGACCGTGATGGCTGAGGCGTTCATACCACTCCTAATTTTATGCGTCATGGGCTGTAAGCAAATTTTGACGTTTCGGCAGCGCGTCGGGTTTCTTTTCTTTTTTTTAACTGTTAGGCAGTGGCGTCATTTGGGTATCTAATAATACAAGCTCTTTGTTGACACAGAGTTTGCTTCAAATACTGCGTTGTGGGAGTGCTGTGGGCGGATTTCAAATGATATAAAACAGATGTAACGTGTACAGAAACTGGTTAACTTTAACACGCGGAAAGAAAATTGTAGCCACCATCCAGCATATTTTGTTTCTTTTATCAAATTTGTGTTTTTTTGTTCAACACCTTTTCTAGTAGCTTAGGCTCCTGATCAGTTCTGTAATAGAGAAACAATTTTATTGCGAAAAAGATTAAAACACATTGAAATGGCTACAACTTGGTTCTAATATCTGGTATAAAAAATAGATGAAACCAAGGTTGACAACTTCACGATTTTTCAGCGCATTTTGTTTAGTACGAAGTTTTAACGGAGCCGCTACTGTCTGAAGAATGTTCTCATAGCACGAATAGATATAGAGAAGCCAGAAATTTGTGATTTTGGTTGTCCTGAAGTTCTTGCGTTATGGCTTTGGACTATGTACTAGCAACTTGATCGAACGTCTAAAAACAAAATTGTGAAAGGAAAGTGGGACTTGCGTTAGAATTTCGGACGTTTGCTTAACTTGAAAACTGTGACAGCTGAGGCCATGAGAAAGGCGGGAGTGATCTGTTAACCATGCAGAATAAATGTCGCTGTACTATTTTGATTCAAGTTTCAGCATACGTTCCATCATTTTGATTCCAGGTTTTCAGCTGAACACGGAGATCCTTGCGATGTTAATGCTGAGGTACATGAGGAAAGACGGTACCTTGAGATTCGGCGATTTCGTGTCCTGCATTCTTCACCTCTCGGTTTCTTTCGGTAAGTATCGCACTAGAGATATCCTATGCCCAAACTCTAATTAAAATTACTAAAAACCCCTTTTGAGGGTATAAAGAAGTAGTACGTCTTGAGAGATAGGTTAAGCTGGTGAGGGGAATAACACAAAAAACAGATAATGAAAGTATCGCAATAACAAAATAAGACAAAAACATTATTCATTGCAAAAAAACAAAAATCAAAACGAAACATTTCAGTATATTAAGTAAACTATGAAAACTTCAAATTGGGTGAGTTGGGTGTTCATGATGGTCAATATTACAGCGTCCATGATGGTCGACGTTACAGCGTCTCCCACATGAAAAGGGGGGAGGGATGATTAGTAATGTGGTAGTACGTACGGCGTCAATAATATTGTCACAAAAAGATATTGATTGTTTAGCCGCAAATTTGTCTAGACGCTAAAGAGGAATTCTTCCCTTTTCAATTTTTCGTCTTTTTTCATTTTTTTTTTATATGAAACTCGTCTTAAATAGAAATAGCAGCAGAAGTGTATCACGCAATACAGAGTTGTTAGTGAGCACTGCGTGAGTGTTTTCTTTTTTGTATGTTTTGAAGCACTGAGCAACAGTTTTTCGAGTTGCGCGAACTATTTTGCTATTAATTTCAAACCAACTATTTTTTTATTTATTTTCGTGAAAGATTTGAACAGTACTTACAGGGTGGGGCCGTAAGGACCAGCAGATTGGGTACACCTTGCAAAATTGAATTCTGAACGTACGTGCAAGAAACTGGACACGCGAACGTCATTTCGCAAGGAGTTCAAAGTATATTTTGTTAAGAGATCACCTCAAAGGGGGTGAAATATAAGAATAAATAAATAACGGCGGTTCTGAATTTTATATGTCCTATACCGACCTGTTCGTCGTCGGTTGACTAATTTGCGAGGTCGCTCCAGGGTGGCTTGTTGAACGCAAAGAACGCCAAGAGCGCCATAGTAGAGGCTGGTTCGCGATAAGTAATCATTTAACGCAATCTGCAGACCAATGTGCAGACGATGAAGATCCGATGTAGGACATAAAAAATGCGCGGCCGCCGTTTTTGCTCTGTTTTTAATATTTCAGCACCGCCAAGGTTGAGCTTTAGAATATACATAAAACTTGGTGCTAAACGAAGTTCGTGTGCCAAGTTTCAGGTTACTTACGATTAAAATTTTGAATTTTACAAGGCGTGCCCAAGGTGTTGATCCTTGAATCTTCACTCTGTACAATGACTTTTTTTTACTACTTGCGTTTATAAAAAAGTGAAAGGCGTTTACAACTCCCTGTAACGCCGAATTAGAGCGCAGCTCTTGAGGAGGAGGAGGGAAGGGTACTGGGGGAGGAGGTCACGTGACCTGGGGGTCACGTGACGATGACAATGCCGATGATGTCATCACTGGCGTCACTGTTGACGTCATCACTGGCGTCACTGATGACGTCATCACTGACGATGACGATGCGGATACCTATGACGTCATTAGTGACGTCACTGATGACTTCACCAATGATGACGATGACGATGCGGATACCTATGACGTCATTAGTGACGTCACTGATGACTTCACCAATGATGACGATGACGATGCGAATGTCGGTGACGTCATCAGTGACGTCACTGATGACGTCATCAGTGATGATGACGATGACAATGCGGATGCCGGTGACGACATCAGTGACGTCACTGATGACGTCATCAGTCATGATGACGATGCGGATGTCGGTAATGTCATCAGTGACGTCACTGATGATGTCATCAGTGATGATGACGATGCGGATGCCGGTGACGTCATCAGTGATGATGACGATGACGATGTGGATGCCGGTGACGTCATCAGTGACGTCACTAATGACGTCATCAGTGATGATGACGATGACGATGCGGATGCCGGTGACGTCATCAGTGACGATGACGTTATCGGGGGGGGTCACGTGACATCGGCGGGGGTAACGTGACCTCGGGGAGGGGGTCAGGTGACCTCAGGGGAGTCACGTGACTTCGGGGGGTCACGTGACCTCAGGGGGGTCACGTGACCCCGGTGGGGGGCTCGCGCGGTGCATTATGGGACATTTCCCATAATGCACCGCGCGGTTACGTTGACGGCGACGGCGACGCCGACGGCGACGCCGCTCAAGCCGGAAATGGGCGCCTAAGAGCTGCGCTCTAAAAAACTCTGCGTCTCGTGAATGTCATTGTTTGTTTCAGATAGTCTGCATTTCGGCAGTCCTTTATTTATTAAACGATGGAAAAATAAAGTAGATCTGGTTGACCTCCTCGTCTTTCCAATAAACTAATTGTTCTCTTTCAAAAACAAACCTGTTTTATTTAATGAAACAAAAAACATTTACAATACCTACATTTTGTTTTCTGTGAACAATGCAATTTTAAATTATATTTGGTTGAACTCCATAAGCTGTGCCTGTTTGGTAATTTCGTTTTATTGAAAATTACAGCAACTTTCGAGAAAAAGGACCCATTGCAGAATGGCTTCATCAAGATGACCCTCTCTGAGGTAAATGTATCAGCCATGATCTGAAGAAATTTATACTTCCTGCCCAGTTCAGTCAGTAAATACATTCAAAATAGATGCGATGTCCGAAACCATTCACAATGTCCATTTGTAGCTGACACTGTCGTAAAGACGTCGTCAACGTGACTACATTTCTGATGCTAAAGTTGAGGCTTGGGCGAGTTGGTACATACTTCGGAATTAAAAACAGCGCGGAAAGACGAGGAACTGACAAAGAAGTGAGAGGGACGTAGCGCTACGTCCTCGTCACTTCTTGGTCTGGTCCTCGTCTTTCCGCGCTGTTTTTAATTCCGAAGTACATTTCTGACCTTGGGACATCACATTAAAAAACTAAAATTAAAACGGAAGAACTCGGATAAAACTTATGTTAATGAGCAACATTGAGAGTGATACGGTGTTGAAACGATGCTGAAAAATCGTAGACGTAAAAAAATAAAAGCAATGGATTGCACATAATTTTTGTAAAACGTCTAAAATAAGGAACGAGGCTCAAGTCCAATACATATAATGTTTTGTTTTTGTATGAGGAAATGTAGTTGCTTCTCAGCAAGACATTTTCTAGATAAGCATATAACCTAAACAAACTATAGCTTACAGCACACTGAATTTTGACCTCTCTTTTGTCTCTTCTTACATCACTCAGTATGAACGTTTTCCTAGAGTGTGTGCTTTCTGTCGTCATTCACTCTTTAAAATATCTTTGAAAGCCAGAACAATAAAAAAGGCTGCCACAAATAAGGGTAATAACATAAAACAGATTATGTTATGTCACTCTATACTCGAAATCCTTATACACTGTATAGCTCTGTGGTTTGCTAATAATTTGTGTTCCGTGTTTCAACTTAGTTACATGGTCGTCATGTAAAATTAGTTTCTTGACAATGTAGCGAGCAAAGAGTGACGTCAAATAAAATATATTTTGCAGTGGCTCAAGACATCCCTGCAGTGCTAATCGTGGAGCTGCTTCAAGTCATCGTAATTCCAGAAAGAGACAAGGCTTGCTCAAATCTATAGATATTTAGAGGAAATGAAATCAAATGCAATATCGAATCAAATTCTGTAAAAAAATAGCCCCAGAGTATTTTCGATTTTTTTTTCTCTCCTCTTCTTTCTTTTAGGAGTTATACTTCGAATCACCACGCAAGTTGTCGTCTGCCCTTGTTTAAACGGATGATGATCTTACACATGTTCATAAACGAGCCAACTTAAAAAAAAAGTGCATTAAACCCTAAACACTAAGTGCCATGAAATCAGCAATGTTCTTACACTCCTAGAAAAAGTGAGGTAAACTAACGTTGCGCTTAACGTCAAAATTGTCCGGTTTCATCGGCTTCTATAATAAAGATGTAAACGTTCGAGATTGCCTCTTCCCCCCAACTCCCATTCGGACGCTTACAGGAGCGTCATCGTCTACCCTTTACATAATACTTTCTAAGGTTATCTGACAATAGATAGTTCTAGAATAAAAAAAAAGCATTGCCCTCCCCCCTCCCCCCCCCTTTCTCATTCTAAAACTATCTACGATTTGTCGAACGTTACTCAAAAGCGCGCAATAAAGCTGAAAAGAACAATCTTTGGACACAAGTTGATTGTCTAACACGAAGCAGTATACTTACACTTACTCTTGTCTGAGGAGACTGCAACTGCTGTTCACCTCTAATGCAAACCTCTGAATGTTATAACATCAAGAATTTCTCCAGTTAATGCGAAACATTACTTTCTCCTGAAATTGCGAGACCCGTGATTTTACGCACTGTTTCACACTAAGCCCAAAACCCAGCCGGCCTCTGGGATCCGATTTAGCCAACCAAACAGCACCAAAATGGCATCGTCAGGGTTCTCGTCGTCTTTGTGATTTAATATCAACTGCTAAACCAATCAAGCACAAAAAAGAAAAGGGCACGATCACTGCCCATTCACTGTGCGTGGTTGGTTTAGCCGATGAGATCAAACACACGAAAACGACGAGCGTCGTGACAATGCAGTAGAGTGGAAAGTTGGGCTAGTTGGTAGTTATTCATCTTGTTTTAAAAGCGCACAAAAGACGAGGACAGAGTAAGAAACACAAACGAGCGCTCGTCCGTCGTTTGTGTTTCTTACTCTGTCCTCGTCTTTTGTGCGCTTTTAAAACCAAGATGTCATGACAATGCACTTTTGGCGCTGCCTGGTTGGCCATAAGACTGTGCTGTCGGCTACGCTCGAATTTATTTTACTGAAACAGAGTATAGACAAAGCTTTTACTAGAACAGGACATTGCGCCGTGAAAACCAAGAGGTAACTTTAATGACCCGTGGGAAGGAGCAGCAAACATTTAATAAAACAATCTAGTAACGCAGCACACCAGTGCTGACGTTTGCTCTCTCTCTGTTTCTGCGAGTGTATGATGCTAACAACGAACTGAATTCTTCGACTTTAAGAAGATTAACTAATTGGGGTTTACCGTGTACATTCAACCACTAAGCAGGACATAGTATATATACACTTAGAGAACGTGCAAATATTTCACGCTTTATTTACACTTCTCGAAAGAAGACGCGAACATGTCAGTGTTGATTTTTTTTTTCCCGCTGTTGTTGTGTACATCGGGCAGTGTTTGCTGACATTGTGTGTTGCAAAAGATATGCCGCCTCATCTTTGTAATATAAATCACAGTCATCGTTTTGTTTTGCAATATACGACGCTTCAATCGTTCCGCCACTAAATCCGAAGTCATAAATTACCAGGTGTATTTACCCGTGTCTCTTGGAGCCGCAATAAACATAAACGTTATGACAGTGAAGCCCGTCTTGTCGCCTCTGCTTTTTGCTTTGGGTAGATCCAAGAATAATATGGTCAAAAATACGTTGGCTGGACCTACAGAAGTTACGGGCATGAGCAATCAGAGCGATTAATATCAATGGCCGACGCTTTTAGCCCTGCAAACTACCACCCTCGGTACTCTGTTTCATAGTTAGTGTACAACGCTGTCAAAGCTGCTGGAGCGAGCATAAGGCTTGATTATTTCGATCTCGCAGATCATTTGCTCGCGTTCTCTCGCGAACGAAACCATGTCACGCGCTCGCGCCAATTGTTGTTGAAGTGATGCTTATTACAAAATCGACGTTGTTAGTTGCGCTATGGGCGCACATGTCACTGTCGGTGTGGAAGGGAAATAGGGGAAAAAAAGGTATAAAGAAGTAGGGAGGGGGATGGGGAAAGGGGATCTTTTCAGAGTGTTAACTTTCTTACGGCTTTCGGTACAGAATCGCGACTCTTGGAACTCGTGAAAACCTCTCGATGTAAGATCTCCAGGAGCCCCAGGAGCCGCAAGCAACCCGGATCTCTTGGAAGTCTTAGAGCATATCGAGGAGTTCCGCGCTTCTCAGGAAGCTGACTACGACACTCTTGAGTGCCTTGCCTGTAGTAGCTCGTGACACTCTTGGACGCAGGAGTTCCTCCAAGTTGGTACTAGGTAGTTCAGGCGTCACCTTGAAGTCGTGTGGCATCCGGCATCACATTGCAGTCATGTGCTTGTATTTTTGCTTCCACAGTGTCCTGCGTTTATGCCTTGCACTTTCGGTATTCTTCCCTTAGTTGCAAGGTCAAAGGATTATTTCCAAGAGTCGTCAGTGCTTGTCCTTGTCGCCGATTAGCTTCTTGTAGTGCTTGGATGGACTTCTTTTTTCAACATCCCACCACGAGTTTTTAGAGCGCACGAGGAAAATAAAAACAAGTTTTTATTTTCCTCGTGCGCTCTTGACGGTGGTGTGATTAGCGATAATGGTTCTGAGCTCCATTGCAAAGTCGTCGTAGCTTAGTGTGTGAACACGTCTAGCGCTCTCGTCATACATTTGGACGACAGTGAATATGACGTCTTCGCGTAGTTGGGCTACAACTTTGCGCTGTGAACTACTCGAAGTTCCTCGAACAGTGCCGAAGTGGAGGAAAATTCTGTTGTGACCGCTGCTGGCACTTTACTCCCCCTCTTCGTCCACGGCCACGTTTTGAAGATTGACCCCAAGTCTTTTTGACACGAGTGCATAGTCTATACATGTCCAGCGGTCTCACATAGTCCAAGTGTGTTGTTTCTCACAACCTTTCCTCAAGTTTAAGATCTTCAGTCCGAGGTCCTCCGCCAACTGTCTCATCATCCTGCCGCTATTATCTTCCCGTCCATTATCAGCACACAGAGACCGGTATGCCGGTTGCTTATATCCCGACGAACACACTCAAGGATATTGTTATTCTCTTCTAGGCGGTTATTTCCCACAGAAAAGATAAATGATGCAGACGGCTGTCAGCAGGTTACCGATCTTTTCGTGTACCCATAGATGCTCCCGGCAATCCTCGCATGCCCGGAGGCATGCTGGTCCATGACTTTGCCAAAGCAGTCCTACGCCTTCACCTCGCCTTCCACGTTCAACTCGATTGCAGCCAGCCCAACACCATGCTGAATTTATAGGAGGTTCTTTCATGTCCCGCAAGTGGGTTTCCGCTTCACCGAATGTAGAAACGGACCTTGAGTGGCGAGCCGCGTACCATTCAAACCAATGTTGCTGACGCCAAGCACCATTCATAAAAAAAAAGCGAAAGATCACAACACTTTTTTGTTTTCGCTTGATTCGGATCTAAGTTTCGGAACATGTATAAATGTAGCGCAAGGTGCGTCGATGCACGAGGCACGTGCAACTTACAACCCTTGGGAAGATCATGGCGGTACAGCGCAGGACTAACTAAGCTAGATTTCAGACGCCATGTTCTTCCCAGAAGTGACGCGCGGCACGTGTCTTGAGCGTTTCCTCAACAATGAATAGCGCCAGTTTTCCCAAGATAGAGTAGCTTTAAATCGACTGCTTCTTGCGCTCCCACTCGAGGCCTTTTTATCACCTTTTAATTTGGATTACTTGGACTTGCTGTTTAATTACTTGTTGCCACGAAGTGTAGCAACTCCTATTGGGGAGCAGGAGGGGGTCGAAGAAAATTCCCGTTGATCCCGCAGCGCCACAACGTCACTCCGCCGCACTTTGAACACTAGAGAAGAAGAAAATGTCTTCACCACTGATCGCAATCGTGAAGTGCTGCTTAATTAATATTTCCTTGTTAGCAGTAACGAAATTGGGTACGGCACATTGAGCACGAGGCCATGAAGACGGACTGCAGTGAAGCTATGCTGGGCATGTGAATGCCCTCAGGATACTTCTTTAACCTTCTACTCCCTGCAGGGGGGCTAAGCTCGGCGCGGCGAGATCGAGGCGAGTTCTCTGCCAAACTCGCCGACCGCCGCGATTGGTCGGCGCCGTGCATGACGACACGCGCCGACACTCCCTAGATCGTGACGTTAATCGGAGGGTTTGAGGCAGTCGGAGAGTTGCATATTCGGAACTCGCGGCGAGATGCGGTGACGTCATTCTGACGTGGCAGAAGCCGCCGCGGATGGGAAAAGCTTGCCGGCTCCGACCTAGGCGAGTTTGGGCGAGTTGGGCGCGAGATCAGGGAGAAGCGTCCAAAATGGCAGCGTTTTCGTTCGTGTTTTGCCGTCGGCATAGGTATTTAAACCACGCCAATGTGTTTGACATGGACGACGTTCATTTTCAACAACACTATCGCCTCTCGAAAGACGTGGTAAGGTGGCTGTGCGATGAACTGCGTGGCGAACCGGGCTTGAGGCGAAGGAGCCGTGAATGAACCGTCGCCCCCGTCGTGAATCCTATACATCCAAATTCTACAAAGTGAATCCTAGAAACAAATGTGTTTTTACGGCAATCTGCAACCAGGAACGCAATTTACCATTACCTACAGGCTTTTTCAATTATTTTGATGGGTTGCTGTGCTGCGTAGATGCAAGATGAACGCACTTGATAAAATTCAAACTAAAACAGATGATAGAAGAAAAGCAATATACATGAATGGCGCAGACTAACAACTGTGTAATTTCTTTCTCATCTTTCTTCTTCCACACCGTATTTTGACAAACAAATTGGCCGTTAGTTGTTTATACAGCAGGAGAACATGCCAGAACATTGCGACATTGTCACCTACTGTAGATAAGCAATTTAGCCAGTGCAGTATGACTGCTAGCCTAGGGTCTTTAACGTGCACCACGTAGTAGTGATACACGACCGCATGCCGGTACGATGCTCATCAACATCGAAAAGGGCAGGGGTGGGGGTTAATCCACGATCCTGGGTTCTGCAGCGCGAGCTTTCGCTCCACGTGCACCCTATTCTGAAATATATATATATATATATATATTGTGGCTGTGTGGCGGTGTGGGGGGAGAAAGATGAGAAAGAAATTACACAGTTGTTAGTCTGCTCCATTCCTGTATGTTGTTTTTCGTCTATACTCTGCTTTATTTTATACCTTTATCAAGAGCGTTTTTCTTGGATCTACGTGGCGCAGCAAACCATCACAATGTCTAGTCAACTAGCCCACATCCAAGCAATGTTTGTATAATTAGCATCCCTGCTATTACCTATTCTTATTTGTCATTTACGATTTAAATAAAAAAAAAATTGGGCTGTATGTATGTTGATGCTGCCTAAAACTTGGTCTGCCTCAACGGGGAAGATTCTCCCAGCTGTAGATGAGAAATTTAGCCATGCAGTGCCGTACAACCGCTAGCCTGGGGTCTTTAACGTCCATCCCGCAGTAGTGTTACACGACTGCACGCCGGTACGATGCTCATCAACATCGAAACGGGCAGGGGTGGGGATTGAACCCAGCATCCTGGGTTCTGCAACGGACCTTTCGCTCGACGTGCTCCGAGCTGGTCTGCGCTAGCCCAGCCGGCCACCGATCCCCCGATTTAAATAAAACAAAAAAAACCTTCACTGCGGAGCGTAGGGAAAAATCGGAGCTACGCTGGGGAACTCGCCGCTGCCGGGAAGGTCGGAAATGTAAGAGGGGGAGTGGGAAACTCGCCGGGGCGGAGTCAAAAGAAGCTCCTCCCCTTCCTCGTGACGTGGCATCGGAGAGATTCCCGCCGGAGGCGAGCTTAGCCCCCCAGTGCAGGGTGGCCCTGCTTTATATGATATGATATATGATATATTTATTTTAGCTCATGAGAGCCATGCCCACCACACCTTAAAAGCTTGCGGCGCCGCCTCTAATGATGATAAAATGATATTGTACAAAACCATTTATCGATGGCTCTCCGCCCTACTGATCTCTATTCTAAGGGGCTGGATGGCGCATTCAGTAAACAGGTATGAAGCCACCGGGAGTAAGCGGCTTGTCTCGGGAGTGAGCGCTTGGCAAGCTTTGTAACCCTTCCGAGTGCTGGTTGGAAAAGCGTCGAGGGCGCTGGATTTTCGCTTGTTACCTCAAGAGAGCCTGCTCGTTGCGCAGTAAGGGCTCAAGCACACCCGAGACCTCCTTCATGCAGACCCGGGACCCGAGAGTTTACATTGAATGGGAAGCCATTCAATGTAATCATTTTGAGATTCTAGTTCATCAAGTGTGCATATGTCTCAATTTCAAATGCCTCATTTTCGGGATTTAATTCAGAGCATCATTATTAAAACCCGCTCGAAGAAACCGGAAAGCACGGACAAAAACATCGACGAATGCACTAGGAAGCCCAGCAGGCGCCCGACTTCCGGGGGAAGCATCAAGCTTCCGGTGGCTTAACTTGTGCCCTGCTCATATGCGCCATCCAGCCCTTAATATAAGAGAGATCAGTGCTCCGCCCCGCTAAAACCCAACACAGCACCGCGTGCAGAACCACCGAGTCCACAGAGAGTTTTAAAAAAGGGGGCCCCAGCAAAGGCCGCCAGTGAATACTCCCTACACGCGCCGTGGCCTTTCCCGGAAATGACAACAAACAGCAACGAAGGAAAAACAAAAGCAGCAACCGGCGTTTTGTGTTTCCAGACTGCACCGTTGGGGCATTGTTTGGCGCTTTCTGAGAGAGCTCCCGTGCGCCCTCTACTCTGATTTCTTTTCCCCTTAACAGCTGCCACGTTCTTTCGCGATTTGACAGACTTTCTAAAATAAAGGAGGACATGATGTTTGTTATTATTTTTTTACATAAGACCTTGAGCAAGGAAGGTGTACTTTAATTACACACGTTCAGTTCTGCTCCTCACAAAGACGGACCGAACTGTTTCATCATATAAAATATAGTTTCTAGCAACGTTCTTGCATTTGTGTAACTCCCGTGGAGGGGGTACCCGCCCCCCGCCCCCCCCCCTCCCCCGGGGTTCCCCCTTGTCCCCTTCAAGGGTAGACTAACGCGCTGTCTACAAACATGCCCTCACGAGGTTTGGGCAAACGCGCAGTTTCCGCACGAGTTGGGGGCACTGCGCTTGCGCAAGAACCAGATTCGCGTCAAGTGAAGTCTACGCATGCGCCCCGCCAATAGCAGCGCCACCACAGCGGAATGAAGTCAGCGCCTCGTGTTGGTCTTAGTTCGCCCCCCAGCTGACAGTGTGGTGGATGTTATGCGCTCGACGGGGCAATCAAGCGCCTCCCTTTCATCCCTTAACCCCGTTTTCGTTTAATTTTAGTGAGTATAAGCGGAGGAGCGTGATCACGTGATGAGAGATAGGCTTATGACTGGTCCAATGAGCCCTCAGCTTCCACCCCAGTGTCAGCGTAGGGATGAACTGAATATCGGCGCCTGGTGGAATCGTTTCACTACCCAGAGTGAGGATATTTCAACTTCGTCTGCTGGTGCAAGCACGTGCAATGCCAGGCTTCTATGCACTATAAAATGAAACCATAAACGCGTGGGTAGCGCTTACACTACCCATAGTGAGGAAAACAGGAGCGCCCCTAGCGAGCTTCTCACCACGATTATACTAGTCTGCTTTTCGAATTCTTCGGAGACGCTTAGGTAAAGCGCCATATAGACCCTGTGCTGCAAAAACTGTAACTGAAGTTACCATAGCAGCCGTGCTCCCAAGAAACGGTGGCGCGTCAAACGACGGGAGGTGAACTCAAGGGGTGAGGGTGGAAGCAGGTGGAAGCAGGCGTTGGTTTCCAGGTATGCTAAATCTGCCAAGCTTGATTGCAGTTTACTCTTGGTTATGTTCTTTTTTTAATTTCAGGGCGTTCTTTCAAATTAAATCATGCGCATTTACTGCATTAAACTTTACTTAATTTGTAGAACACGTTTCAGTCAAACATATATTTTTTTGGTTCACTCAAAAACGGCGTTATTTCTTATAGCACAGCAACCGCTACCGACATCATGCGGTACAAGTGCGGGAACTCTGATGATCATGATCATCCCACATATTCAGTATTTCACTATCTCTTTCTTAGCTTTCTCTCTCTCTCTTGCTCTTTGCAGTAAATATGGGTGGTCTACAACGGAAGTTCACCAAATCTCTTGCAAGCAGTTAAAAAGAGTCGATCACATCGCTCTAAAGTATGCCTTAAGCCCAAAGTTCGCCACACAGTCAAAACGCGTGGACGCTTAACTTCACTCTAAAAAATGCTTGCGCATCTACTCACCCGCAAAGCATTCGAAGAGCCGATCTCTGCGATCTACGAAATAGCTCAGCGAGTCATCAGGCGGAACATCCGTTTAGACCTAAAAATGAAGTCTGCGGTGGGACATTATGCGAAGCAAGCATGACAATGTCACAGCGCAGACTTCAATTTTAGGTTTAAACGGATGTTCCGCCTCATCATTCGCTGGGCTGATTTCGTAGATCGCAAAGATTGGCTCTTAGAGTATTTTTCCGGTTAATAGACGCGCAGGCCTTTTTTATATTGTAGTCTTGATTCCAGAAAGTGAGAGCTGTTGCGAATTGCTTTTTGTGTTTTACTTGGTTTGCTCTACTTTATCGATTCTACTCGCTGCAATGTGAACCCGGCTCCCATTCACTCTCGTGACTAGTGTCGTTGTGTTGTCTTCGACTGGCGTGTCCTCAACCTCAGTAAAAATGGACTTGACCAGCGGATTGAGGACTCCACACTGACCGCTATAGTCATCGTTGGACACGTCCCAGATCAGAACACCCCCAAGGTACTTCTTGTTTAAGAGAGACGCCAGCTTTCGTACGCTCGTCTCGTCTTCATAACCGATCCACAAGTTGTTACGCACCGCGTACGGCTTCTCACTTTCTTTGTCGTACCCAAACGTCCAGTTGGGGCTTCGCACAATGTTACACACCTCCTTGTAGGACAGCACACGCACCGCCGTAGCGTCACTCCAGTTGGGTATGCTCTTGTTTTTCTCCATAAAGTTGGCGAGAGTACACATGTACCCCGTCAGGGAAATGGTCAGGATGACTTTGTTTCGTGGAAGGCCGCTGGAGATGACCGTTTCAAGAGCGTCTTCGATGCTTTTACTTGTGTGGGTGTAATGGTGAAAAGGCATGAGAACCCGATCCGATCTGTTCGCTGCTTTGACCAGGCCGTGCGTAATGACGGCGACGTAGTCGAGAAATTTACCCAGTTTTCCCGGCCTCGAGCCAGACTTGAAAACGCCGGCATCATAGGGCGCCGTGATGACAAAAAGAAGTCCGTGGCGGTGCAGGATCTGCTTGAGATGCGACAGAAAGATGACCATGTGCTTCCGGTCCTGAGCCTTTACTGGAAACACCCTGTGGAGCACAAGGCCACTGAAGTGGTTCTCGATGACCCATTTGACGATGTCCACAATGAAGATCATGTAGGCCGTGGTGTTGGTAGTTGCGGCGTCCGAGAAATGAAGCTTCCCATCGTGGGCTTCGTCCCCGACTGAAATCAAGTGCTTAAGATGGGGATACGCCTTCTTTATGGCATCCCGGATCTGTCCCATATGCTCCTTGGACTCCAGGAACGCCGAGGTCAGGTCGACGCTTTCATTGTCCCAGCCGAACAGAATGCGCAGCGGCAGCACCAGGTGTGAGCAGTAGTTTCCCGGTAAGTCAGTGGCTCGGTACGGGTTCTCCTTGTCGTACTTGAGACCGACGTTGAGATGGCAGAGGATCGGCACGGGACCGTGACGCTGCCTTCGTAACCATACCGGGAAAACTGGAGATGCCCGGATGTCGTCGGCGCTGCGGGCGTCATGCGTGACGACGCAGAGGAAGATGCCCAACAGGAGTATGGTTACGGCAACGCAGGTGGTGACAGTGTACGAGGCGCATCTCCTTACGGAGGGGTCTCGGTGTGCCGAGAAGCTTCTCCCGCGGGACTGTTGCAGGAGCCACTGCTCGTCTTCTAGCGACAGCGACATTGCGGCGCTGCGCTACGAGCGAGTGCATCTGCTTCTTCTTCGTCGAGGGTAGACTTAATGGACGCCGAGGTTCACTTGATTCTCGTCTTCTCTCGGGGGGATCGGTGGCCGAGTGGGCTAAAGCGCACACCCAGCTCGACGCGCGTGGAGCGAAAGCTCGCGCTGCAGAACCCAGGGATCCTGGGCTCGAGCCCCACCCCTGCCCGTTTCGATCTGGATGAGCATCGTACCGGCGTGCGGTCGTGTATCACTACTGCGTGGTGCACGTTAAAGACCCCAGGCTAGCGGTTGTACCGCACTGGCTAAATTGCTCATCTACAGTGGGTAACAATGTCGCCATGTTCTGGCAGACTAAACTCCTGCTGTATAAACAACTAACGACTAATTTGTTTTTTTTTTCTCGTCTTCTTCATTTCTTTTTTTTTAAGGTATACTGAAGCGATTTTGTATTTGAGAAAAAAAAACACTTCAATAGCCTTCATTCGGTCTCAAGGATCACGAATATTGGCGTTATTTCTCAATTTGGTGAACGGAGGCTGTAGAGATTAATTTTCAAAGTACCGCCGAAGAAGCCCCTCCTTCCATGGCGTGACGTCACACTATGAGTTTTCGGAATCCCTGCTCTCGCGCATCTCCAGCCGCTGTCAAAGCTATGCACGCGCAATTTTGCTGTCTTGAAAGAGGTTAAAAAGAAACGTCACGACTGGTGCGAATGCGGAGAAATATACTTGGAAAGCGTGCAATTGCACGCGCTGCCCCACGAGCGACACGCGCTTAACGGCCCAAAGATCCTAGTAAGGCGACACGACAGGTCGGAGTTTTCCCGCATTTTCTCGCGTTTAGTTACATCTTCTGGGAAAACGAACTGTGATATTCAAATTAATGGGATAAAAATAAGCCAGAATTCACCTCTAACTCACTTTTGTTAAGAAGTGTTTCAGCTTCCCTTTAACTCGGTTTTGGCTCGGACATCGGTTCTCGCTGACTCTAGTTCCCTTGATCAAAAAAGCAACAGCAACAACAACAAAAAAAAAAAACAAGTACGTTTATTTTAATTAGTTTGTATTTATTTTGTATATGGTGGGGGGACTACGAGGGGAAATTGGGCTCTGGCTCGCTTCTCCCAGCAGCCGAGAGCGGCGCTACGTAATAGAGCTTTATGCCTCATATATCGCTCTCACCATAGTATCATCTGTAAGCTGGCAGAAGTGCAACAGCGGCAAAGACAATTCCAGTCTTTGTAAACGGTGTGGAAAAAAAACACAAAAAACTGAAGCATACGGCGAGTATAAGAAAGAATATAACAATAATAATTTCATTTTATTTCTATCACAACTTGGTGGTGGCGATCAAAGCACGGAGCTTCCTATTGAGCTGACGTGTCCTTGGTCACCTACAACCATTGTTAAAGCGCACAGCGTCGGACGAAAAGCAGGAAATAAAGATACACAGAAGAAATAATGTACAAAAGTCACCATAAAGGCTGAACTCCATGGGGCGTATACGCTGCGAAAAATCGACGAATTTTGCCCTTCGGCTTTTGCTCTGCGTGTGAAATGAACTCAGTGGCTGCTATGTCACACGCAAAGCGAGCGTGCCGTCGGGCGGCGTACGTCAGTTATTCGTGGCATAATTCGCTCCATGGAGTTCAGCCTTAACATCAGAGATGAAACACATAGACAGTAAATGCAACTAATAATCCTAACCATCCATACTAAACGATAGAATAAAAATTATAGAATTATGAATGGCCGTGGTTACATTTACGGCTGAAGAATACCTCTGTTATGTTCAGGTCGGTTTCGAATCCACTTCGCTTCTTCGTGTTGTTCCTTCTATGCTATACTCTGTTTCACCCTGTGTTGTACCGCAGGAAAGGCTACAAGCGCGAGCTCTTTGCTATAGGGCACACCTCGGCGGCACACGCTCTTTGCTATAGGGCACACCTCGGCGGCACAAGCTCTCATGCATTAAGGGCAGCTGCCAACGCTATGTGCTCGCGCTTCTAGCCTTCGCTGCGGTACAACATAAGGTGAAACGGAGTATAGCCATCTGTGGCAGCGTCCCCCGAACACCTGCGACGCTGCGGAACGGCACGCGCCAAGAGCGCGCGAGCTGCTGCGCGCTCTTTGATTGTTTGCTTTCTTATCTTTTTCTGCTTCGAAAATTAAAGCAGTTTTCAATATAGCTGCCTAGGCTGACTCCACAACCGCTACTACCTCTGCAGAGTGGAACAAAATGCTCAAACTCTGCCCGTTTTTGTTAGCATTTCTTAAATCCTGGAATACAAGGTGGCTCTGCTTCCATTATGGTAATTATGCAAGCGTTTTATATGCAAGAATAGTAAAATCGCTATCGCCCGTACGTTAATCACACCTACATTTCAAGCCCACCATGGTCTGGATTTCTTTCCCGATTCCGATATGACGATACCGGATACAGTTTGGCCGACAAGCTGCCCGCCCTCTTAGAACTCGGATAAAAACTGATCGAGCAAATTGCCAGCACCCACCTAAACACCACCACCCGAACGGCGTGCACTGCTCTTGACCACGCGAAACAGTCATGCAGAAGCGAAAATATATTTTGCATGGAGACAACAACACGAATTCGCCATAAAGTTTGTCGCGTGACAGGGTATTTATATTTTATTGCCAGGCACGGTAGCCAAGGGGGGGGGGGGGGGGGGGTCCTTTCCTCCCTCCCCGAATTCTTCCATTTTGCTGGGACCCTCCTCTCCCCCCCTCCCCCTCATACAGCATTTTGTCATGGGCGGGCCCCCCCCCCCCCCCCCCCCCCCCCCCCCCCCCCCCGAAACAAAATCCTGGCTACGTGCCTGTTTATTGCAGAAGTGGAATAAAACACTCACAAATGCTCGGTGGGCGGTCATCTTCCTGTACGTTTCAAGTCCTGCTCATGTTCTTCGATTCTTAAAGGCACAACGATAATTGGACATTATCGAGACAAGACGACTCGCGAAATCTCGGAAGCGCATTGCATGAACAACTTGGGAGACTGCTGCGTTAGCCACCCGGCCATCAGTGGCACTGCTTCAAACCAAAACCTTGTTTTTAGGTTGAACTATGGCGCAAATACATTGCAATTAAATGATGTTGTGTCGCGTGTGACACGCACTGCATGCCCTGCGTGTCTTTCGGAACGTCCTCTTCTTCTTCCTTTTGTGTATAAATTCAGTTACGAGTCAGCGCTTGTGTGTTATGCATGTTCCTTTTCACTGTCCTTGTCTTTTTGTGCGCTGCTCTGTTCAATATGTTACATTTTATTCTTCGCTTCGTCACGAGATCATCTAGCAGACGAAGTTTTGGTACGTTCGCTTTCAGACCAAAGAAGAAAGGATAGGTCCACTGAAAGGTTAAATTTTACTTTCGCATTTCGGCGCAGGAAGGTTGGTTGCTTTGTTGTTGTAGTAGTCGAAGTTGAAGAAGATGTGCTGTGCAGTGAAGTGATCAAATTCAGAAGTACGCCTCGTAGAGGTTGCGTGACAAACTGTCCAACACGGCGCTGGCCACTGCGGCGTGAGGCACGTTGCTTGCGGCACTTTAGGTCCGACATCGTCCGATAGTTATGAATCGTCACAACGGGTCTCCTTGAAGAGAGTTTGAGATGACTACCCGAAAAACCACATCCTCGGGGGTATATTTTCGTCAAAGGGCACGCGGTAAGTGTCCCATCTTTTCGCCATAAGACCTAGTGTAGACTGTGGTCACTGACAAGATGAGAACGACAGAAAGAAGACGCCTCGGCAACGCTTCGGCGTCCCTTGCACCTTGACTGCGCGCGCGAAGCCATAGCGCGGCAGAAGGCACGGAGTGCATGCTGGAGGCCAGGCGTTCAAAAGACACGCTCCAACGTTCTCAATATGTCGGTGACTGTAGCACGCTTGGTGTGGTCGGACCTTCCCTCTGGTCTGCTGAACTTGGCAGTCGGGGCTCCATTCACATCACCAGTATCATCACTGCCTTGACAGAACCTAATTAGAAGATATGTTTAACATATAGCTCGTGTCAGCGGAATGCTCACTGGGCATACTGATTGTCCAAGCTTATTACGTTCAAGATACTTGCTTAGTAATTTGGTCTTCGACCTTCTTATCAGCTTATGCCGCATCATCGTTGGCCGCGAACTTATAATGAAATGTTCGGGAGTCGCCACGCCATGCGTTTGTAAAGCTACCTGTGGCATGTAGTGCTGAAGAAATAGGAACTGTCTTGGTATAACATCAGGAGCGCTGTAAAGTCCGGACCCACCTCCGGTCTTGGCTGGTGTGTTTGGATCTATCTCGGCGTGCGCGGTCCCATGAAGCTAATATGCATTCAAGAATTCTTGTCATTTCCTGCGATATGTGCATTATATTTAAGAATCCTTGGCTTTCTGCTTACTCCTAATGACTGATATCGCTTATGCTCAAAACGTATTTCTTTGGCTTCGATAATTTGCTTGGTTTGCACTTTCTAGGTGGGATATTTCCATGAAGAAGCAACAGCACTCGTTGACATGATGGCCGCTGCCACATCGGCTGTGGCACTGCGTTTTCAAAGAGGTGTTCACAATGTGTCCGAAGCTTTTGTACTCCGGACAGTCTGAATTTTCGTAACGATTAGCGTTTGGAGTACATCACAAAAGTTAGAGGCATATACACATCTCCAAGAATATATATTTTTATCGCTTCACTGGTATTTAGCAGCTCTATACGCCTCAAGCTAGTTGAGAGGAAAATGTGTTCTGTGTAGTGTGAATAATGAAGCGGTATCAATGCAATCTTTCTCAAGGCTTATAACAGATATATTATTGGCGAAGACAATGATCACAGAAGGATTATAGTACCTACCGACTCACAATCGCAGTCAGGAATCTACGAATTATATTATGTCGATTTCGGGATCGGAGATCCATTTAGCACCGTTTTATTATAATATCTAATAAAGTGGAGGTGAAGAAAATAGATGCCTAGCTTTTTAAAACCCTCTTTCAACAGCGACAAACTGGAGTACTCTGACTCCATTAACCATGCTGTCACTAATGGCAATTCGCCCGCCTCCGGCGTTAGCCTTTCTATTTGCATTTGCCGTCGCAACCCTTATACCTGCCACCAAAACCCAAGAAGAAGACGATGTGAAGATATGGGCCCTTCTCGTGGCGGGTTCTAAGGGGTACATCAACTACCGCCACCAGGCAGACGTCTGCCACGCGTACCACATCCTGAAACAAAATGGTGTTTTAGAAGAACGCATTGTGGTTATGATGTACGACGACATCGCGCACAACGAACTGAATCCAACACCAGGAGTCATACTCAACTACCCCAACGGACCTAATGTTTACGCTGGAGTGCCAAAGGACTACACCGGAGACCTGGTTTCAGCGTATAATTTTTTGAGCATCCTGCAAGGAGAGGCAGTTGAGGGGGGTAGCGGAAAGGTAATAGCAAGCGGTCCGAACGACCACGTGTTCGTCTACTTCGCCGACCATGGCGGTCCTGGTCTTATAGCTTTTCCGAACGACAATCTTCATGCGACAAGCCTAAACGGGGCTCTGAAGCTGATGCACCAGCAGAACAAATTTGCAAAGCTGGTCTTCTACCTCGAGTCTTGTGAGTCCGGCTCTATGTTCCAGCACCTCTTGCCTGACGACATCAACGTGTATGCGACGACGGCGGCAAACGGCGAGGAACCGTCCGCAGCGTGTTACTACGACAAATTTAGGAACACGTATTTGGGAGATGTCTACAGCGTCAACTGGATGCATGACACTCGGTGCGGGATCCCGGGTTATGAAACGCTCCAGGACCAGTTAGAAATCGTCAAGTCTGAGACTTACACAAGCCACGTCATGGAGTATGGTGACTTGAAGATGGGGAGAATGAAGATTAGCGAGTTCCAAGGCGCAGAAGGTGGCCCTTTTGAAGTTTTGGCCAAGGCACCTCTGGACACAGTTCCCAGCAGAGATGTGCCCGTTGACATTGTCCGCCGTAAACTCATGAATGCGACGGACCTTCAGGTTGCACTCTCGCTGAAGCAAGACCTGGATCGGATGCTGCTACTCCGTACTTTCCTCAAGGGCAAGATGACGGCGCTTGTGAAGTTTGTGACGCGTGGTGACGCTGAAAAGAGCGAGCTGTTGCTCGAAGCAAAGATTCCCCTGAGGGACCACAGCTGTTACGAGCAAGCCGTAAGCCACTTCGACGCCAAATGCTTCGAACTCTCGGCTAACCCACGCTCCCTCGCACACTTGCGCTTGCTTGTAAACATGTGCGAAGAAAACATTTCCATTTATGACATTCGCCGAGCGATGGACTATATATGCACTCATGAAAGAATAGTCGGTATAGTCTAGCTCTTGACTGCCAGCTTTATCAAGCCTTTCCATTTTCAAGATGATGCGGTACAGTAATTAAAAAATGTATTCTCCACATGAGAATACGCCTTTTTTTATCACGTGTGCCTTGCTTTGATAAAATCTTTGCATTGTCTGATTCCTTGACTAGTTCGCACCGCATAAAAATTCCACTTTTGAATATGTGTAGTTCACGGACTATATATAGTCCGTTAAATACGGTACTATACTAAAGTATATCTGTGAAAAAAACGAGTATAAACTCAAAAGCGAATCAAATTTTCGCCTTGCATATGTACAGAGGCATAAATAGGGTAAATTAACAGGTTGTTTAAGCAATCTGTATGAAGTGATCAAGACTGTCTGAGGATCACGTTCGACCGTAGCCTCCTCTATGAGCGTGAAAGTGCTTTGGCGGTGCCATCTTCTGGTTTCTATCTGTGAAGTCATGACCAGGGTTTTGCTTCGCCATAAAGTCACAAATTCTAACCTTGCCTACGTGTCATCGGTTGAGCATGACAATTTTGATGTTATGTGTAAAAAGCACAGTAGAAACTTGGATGCTTAAAATCAACCCCCCCCCCCCCCCGCCCTCACCCCCTCCGACGAGTAGGAGCGCGGGCTGCGTAGTAGGAACCGCTCATTAATGCTACCGCAGATTCATTGTATTCGCCTGAATGTTTAGGCCAAGCCATTTGTCGAGCAGGTAGAGCGTTGGATCCCCACAAACTGTGTTGTGGTTTTTACTTTCGTTGTTCAGTAAAATATTTTATGCTCATACATTATAACGCAACCCCGAAACTGCATAAAGCGGAAAAAAACGAAACACACACACGCACACGCAGACACACACACGCACACACATACACACGCAAACGCACGCACACACACACATTCTCTAACGTAACATTTCATCTCTGACCTGTTTATTTGCTCCCTGACATTTTGTGCATTATACTTTTCGCTTCTATTTATTTTTAGGGGTTTAGGCGTATTGCGAGCACGTCCGAAACGCACAGGACCGTGCAAAAGGAGATAAGGCATTGTTTCTGTTTGGTTGTGTTTCAAAAATATCATTTTATAACTGTAAGATATCAATACATACATTATATTCATTTAGAGGGCCTCACCACCTACTGTCAAGCTACTCACAACTTTATAATACTCAGCGCTGCAAAATCAAGTATTTGCTACCATGTAATGCATGGTTTTTCTGCTTCGCAGTAATGCGTAGTCATATCTCATCGGCTAGACGATCCTAACAGCAGCCGTAAATGTACTGCTTTTGCACACGCTAGTCCCACCCATTGTTTATGAGCTCCGCAAACAAGACGTAAATCAGACCTGCGCACACCAGGTTAACAAACAGAAATGAGGTCAAACATTTTTGCTTACTTTCGCAACCCAGCAACCTTGCAGGTGTTCAAGACTACATAGGAGGAATTGGACTGTTTGCTTTCAAAGCCTCATCACATTTACACCAGAGTAGTGAGGGCAAGTTTTATGAATAACGTCTGATGAAAAACTTCTTTCAGTCAAACAAAGACTCAGGTGAGCAAGTATAAAATGGACATTACAAGGATGAAGACGGGCGATGGGTAAATTGCAAAAATTACATTGTTGTCCCTTTTGTCCCGGGTGCATCTTTCGACGCGGTTGGTGGAGCGCAGGCTTATAAATGATTTTTGGAAAAAAAGCGATGTATTTGTAATGGTTTCAAGAAGATTGTCCGGCTGGTCTGTTGGAAACAGACAATTAGGAATAATGCCATAGTTTTCACATGATCCCTCACCTCAAAATCGTGCAGGCCGTCCCACGTTGAATTGCGTTGCAAAATTTGTTTCCATGATGAGCAGCTGCTTTAGTTATTGTGAATTAAGAAACAGTAACACTATCGATGTACCTGGGGCCCCGTATGAGATCATAAACAAGCAAAAAGCATAGATTGCAAACGGTCAGATGCAGTTTAGTTGCCACCTTCGTTTGCATGCTTGAGCCTCCCCATCTGGTCACCAATTGGAGCCGATGCACAATCAGCGGTGTCAAACTACGAGCAATCGAATTGTTTACATCTGCGGCGAGCTGCAATAATTACTATTGTAAGCACGATGTTTTGTTTCAACGCTGACAGCGAAAGCAGAACATGATGAACCATGCGCAATCCTGCAAGGCCGACGCGTCAACAAGGATCACCGTCAGCGCGTTCCATCATCGGGAACCTACAAAAGGCATCGCTTATTTGGGGCTTTTTTAAGGAGGTTGTGCTTGAATGTTTACGCCGTTTTGTACCGATGAGCACTAAATTTGCACGCAAGCATAACCCGTGGATAACTCGTGAACTTCTGCACTTGAAACGGAGAATTAATCGTGTTAGGAAGTGCAACAAATTTTTACCTATCTCTGAAATGAGAAGACAACTTAAAGCAATAATTCGCCTCGCCAAGTTTCGATTCAATAGTGTCACTCTGCAAACATTTTTCAAAGAATCGCCTGATAAATTCTGGAGGGCGTTATTGCCGGCCCGAAAAAAGATTTCCACGCTTTTCGTTTCAGACAATCTGGTAGACGATGATATCGCTATCGCAGAAGGTTTTAACGAATATTTTGCGTCTGTCTTCACTACGGATAACGGCACCGTGGCTTGTTTTGAACAGCTGTCCACTTTATCAACGTTACCTGATATCATTATCTCTACTCAAGGATTATTCTCAGCTCTGCTTAATCTTCCAGCAAAGAAAGCCATTGGTGCTGACGTATTCCAAATTCATTTTTGATTCACTACGCTGAGTGGTGCTAGAAATATCTTTACCTTATTTTTCAAAGATCTTTAACAGAATCTGTCATTCCTGCTGAGTGGAAATATGCAAAAGTAATTCACGTTCATAAAACTGGCTCCCTGCTACTTCCGGTAAACTATAGGCCTATTTCATTACTTCCTTACTGTTCGAAACTGCTAGAACATATTGTTTTTAAACACCTCGCGAGTTACTTAGAAAAAAAATGCTTTTTTCTTTTCAAATCAACATGGTTTCCGTCATGGCCTTTCTACTACGACTCAGTTACTTGAAACAGTCCATGATTTCGCAAATATCCTGAATCGATCCAAACAAATTGACGTCATATTCCTAGATCTTTCTAAAGCTTTTGATAGAGTATCACATAGTAAACTTCTCCTTAAACTTAAATCAATTGTTCGAAACGAAGGAATCTTTCGCTGGCTCGAGAACTACTTACAGGACAGAAAGCAGTATGTACAGATCAACTCGAGTGAATCATCATTAATCCCTGTTTTATCGGGTGTTCCGCAAGGGTCGGTCCTAGGGCCATTACTGTTCTTAATTTTTATAAACGATTTCACCGCTAATATTCCAGTACGTGTTCGACTGTTTGCAGACGATGTGGTTTCATTTACAGAAGTCAATGAAATAAGTGACCAGATTCTACTAAACACCTGCTTGTCCAAGATGGCGCACTGGTGCGACTCGTGGCAGATGTCATTGAATGTCAAGAAGTGTGTTCGAATGCATATAACTCGTAAATTAAGTCATCTTGCTTTCGATTATTCCATTAATAGTACTTCACTAGCCGAAGTTACTTCTTATAAATACTTGGGTGTCATTATATCGAATGACCTACGCTGGAACACTCATATCATGTCTACTGCGCGCAAAGCACTATCCAAGTTATGGTACTTAAGAAGAAATTTAATACATGCCTCTTCCGACGTTAAATTGACAGCCTATAAAACTTTCATATTACCCATCCTAGAATACTCTTCGGTGGTTTGGGATTCGTTTACAAGTACCAACATAAACGTCCTCGAAAATGTTCAAAGAAAACGTTTACGCTTCATTCATAATAAATTCCAGCGAAAATATCCCGTCTCTGAACTGCACGCCCTTTGTGGGGTGAACTTACTAAAGCATAGACGCATGTTTACGAGAATAAAGTTTCTATTTGATTTATTAAACAACCGGTTCAAAATCGATATCTCTAAATATATTTCACCCGCACCTCAAGATTATCCCATGCGAAGTTATCATTGCAAAACGCTCAAAGAATTCAACTGTCGGATTAATGCATTTAAGTACTGTTTTTTCTCAAGGACTGTTCACGAATGGAACTCCCTGCCAGGCGATAAAATAACAGCATCACCAGAGTCCTCCTTCTTTAATAAACTCCGAGATTTTTGTGATACTTGTATCTGATGCTCATTTATTAATTTTTTTGCGATGAATATAGTCTTTGTATAACGCTATTTGTGTGTTTTTGTATCAGCTAGAACGAATATCCTTGTGCTTGTTACCTGCTGTTTTTTTTGTTATTATTGTTTTTGTGTACCCATATGTTGTAAACCACTCCTACCACGTCTCCTGAAATAGGAGACAGTAGTATTAATAAATAAAAATAAAAAAAAATAATAAGACCGTGGATCAGTTCCGCAGCGGGAGCAAGGTCAGCAGTGTCTTTTTACGAACTTTTGATAGGTATACAGGTGAGAATTTGTGTCGGCAGGGTTTTTTCTCTTGCAGTTTGAGTTGTGCCCTGTTTCAAAGCAGAACATTTTGCCAGCCTGATCTGGTGTGTGTTTTCTGATTTTACTTCGTGAGTAAGGGCTGAAAAAGAAGGAAATAATGTTTGAAGGCTATAGTGACTCATGCCGATAAGTAAGAACTGAAGCAGAAGGCTTGAAGTCGCTTAAAATACTTAAGTGACATTGTTGACGAGGTAATAACAGTCGCAGCTAATTTGAAGGGGACTAGAAATTATGTTAAATAATTTAGAGTCAAAATCAAAACATAACACAAGTGCAGACAACAAAACAAGTGCACCTCAAATTACAGACCAAGAGCAGTACCAAGGGGTGAACGACCTGCAGGGAAAAAAGGAATACCTCCGGGAGACGATCCATTTGAGATTGCAGACATTCTTTGTGGAGATTAGGTGATTCGTGCAAGCCTGTCCTAGACTTGGATGTGGTATTTGTCATAGAGTCCACA